TTTTTTTTTTTTTTTTTTTTTTTTTTTTAATTATGACGAACACGCATGTTTTGGGTATTCCGAGTCTTCGGCTCGTGCACCGCATCCAGGGCCCCGTTTGTTACGGCTAAGAGACAGTCTCTTTCTCTCTCTCTCTCTTGTTCCCTATATCCGAAGAGTGAGAATGCAAATAAATATAAAGAGAAAGAGAGAAGATGATAAACAAGCACTTTTTAAGACGCAATACGAACGAATCGATCGGCGCGGTACAGCGATGCTGGAAGACTCGGCGAATCGGTATTCATCTTGGTCCTCCGTACCATCGCGTTTAGAAAATAAGTTTCTCCTTTAATATTACTATTATAACCATTTTTTTGCACATCATTTTCACTTTACCTTTTATCGGTTTCCCATTAATATGTACCACTAATCTGCAAATCACGCACGAGCACGGCAGTTGTCTTTTAATTTATTATTTTTATGTTTTTCTTTCATTAAATATCTCTTAGCTATATCGCGCGGATTTTTTTATTCATAAAATACATAAGGCAACGATAGTGCCAGACCTCAATGCCCTAATTTAGGCCTTGACGTTTCATTTTCTTTTTTTTTTCTTCTTTCTTTCTATCACTCTCGCTATCGCACTCTATCTCTTTCACTCTCTCACCTTCCCACACTAATAATCATACAAATGAAGGCACACGCGCTTATACGTCACACACACGTCCCGTACAAGTCCCGGAGGCACTTGAATAAAAGTAATTGAAAACGAAAGACAATTGATAAGGCTCTTAACAGCGTTAAGCCGAGCGTGCCCTCGATAATAATAATAATAACGTAACAACAACAATAATAATCCTCGGTCATGATCACACGTAGAAAACACGTCTTTTTAAAAGTGAAAACTAACAGTGATAAGCGCGTCGCGGTTTCTCCAAACGTCCAAAACGCGTCCCGCGACGCGCATCTCAACGATATATAATAAAATCCTAAAGCACGTCCGCGCTCGACGTAGAACACGTTATTAATTATTGCCCCGATTTTGGTCTCGTGACTAGGTGAGTTCTTTGGTCTAGAAGTATATAGGCAGATGCTATTGTATAGGCCGTCCATCATTGGTGTCTCTTCCAGCGCCGAGATACGACGGGTACAAGACGTCGATAGGTCGTCTTGGTCAGGATACCTGAAAGCAAAGTAGAGTCAATGCACAATTGAGACTCGACGCTTTGTTCGTACGTAACGAAGAGGGGAGCAAAATTCTAGCATAAAAGCCCACGTGAGAGTGAAACGTACAGTGTTATGGTTTTAAAAAAACCATTCGACGGCAGTATAACGAGCTAATATTACGTATAGCGTATCTATTGGACGATACGGGGAAATATTTTAAGACAGAATGCTACGCGAGCTCTAAATAGGTACCACGGTGTTGTAACTCCGTATCCCAATCCCTCCCTGGCATACTCGCTTCTTTATACCCGAATCCTCCACCTTGGCTACCACTGAGAATGGTATCCCAGCTAAACTACTATTGGTGCGAGACTCGGTCTTGGTTTTGAATTCATGTGTTTCGTACGTATACCGAAGATAGGATTGCAAGGTACGCGGATTTAGCGTGTAGATTTTTGTAGGACATCTGTTACGTGAACACCCTATACGGCAGGAAGGTATCCAGATGCTGGCTTCTCTCGGTATAAGGTTCGACGTGTGATGTATGGTAAAATTGATAAATCAAGAATTATTAATGTTTCACTACTTGAAAAACTTACCCGCTATCAAGCTTCCTGAAGCTCACCCTTCACGCCCGGCACACTGTGGTGATGCCTGGATGCTAATTTATTCGCCAGCTCGTGCATCACGTCTCGGTATATGACCGTGTCCAAATTTTCACCTAGCATGTAAAGCAGGAACCAATCGCCCATTTTGCTGCGCAGGACGATCGTCTCCACGGCTTCTCGTCTTATCAGACGAAATCTCAGTCGCAGGAGGTAGACCCGCATTCGTGGCGAGAATATTATCACGACCTGGGTAATGGATGTCAAATATATTTTTTTTTTTCACAAAGCGATTTTTCGTTCATTTTTATTATTGTCAATTTTTGATTTTCGATAATTTTTTATTTTTATCTCGACAGCTATGGCAGGGTTGTATCTACTCACCCTGTATACGATGGTCATGAAGCTGAGTACGCCAAGGAGCAGGAACCAGAACCAAAGGAAGACGTAGATCTTCTCGTTGACAACGTTCAAAGGCAGTATGCAAACGGCGTCGTGACGCTCGACCTCGCCGCTGACGCCGTACTTGTAGAAAGTGCATTTGGTCATGCGGGGAAAGACGTAGATCATCGGATCCACCCGGTCCTCCTGGTCGGACTCGAGGAAGCGCAGGACGTCGATGCCGAAGGTCAGGAAGGCCCCGTCGAAGAACCGATTCATCAGGAACATCTGGCCTGCGGTTATAATCTTATGAGCCGGGGCTGCACGCGACGTTGAGAATGCCGACGAGCCGGTAATTGGACTCTAGAGCATTGCCAGAGACTACCCTGACTCGTGGAGAGGGTGCTCGTCAAAGAGAATGAAAGGACGGCCAGCTGTACCATTGCCAAAATTTATATTAATAGTTCATTCACTCGTACATAATCTTTGATATTCAATTTATCCATTCTTTTTCTTCTCTTATCGATATGACGCACTGATATTTAATCAATATATCACAAAGTATTACGTCAACATCTGTGATCCTTGAAACGACTCTGGATTCATCTTAAACGTCTCAATTCGTATTGAATTAATAATTTATATTATTATTTACTCACCGATAACGTTGACAAGGGCCAATAACTCGCAGAGATAATATCTGTAGGCCCACCAATTGTGATAACGCAAATTCTCCCACAGATAATCCAACAGGAGCTTCTTCTTCTGTTTCTTCTCGACCTCCGAGCACAACCCAATATCCAGATCCATCATGAGCGCGTGAATCTTTCCACCCTCCCAGCCCTTCCACAACCATCTCGGCGTATAGAAAAGTATAGCCTGCAATCATAAAGTGAAGCTCTACTTGATAATACAGAGGCTGTAAACCTGTATAGCAAAAAAAAAAGGCATTACCATACTTAAGTGCTATAGATAGAAATTCCAAAAGGCTCGTGACCGTGTCAATGCTCCTATCGAATCCATATACCATTCAGCTTGGCACGTATGTGTATCACATATATACATATGGTATGAACATATGAAGCTTTTTACACATAAACTTTATGCTCGGGCAATCTGCCAAATCACACGTTTCGGTACAAGGCACGAGTTGACTTTCCCTACGGGAATATTATCCTAGTTAACATATAAAGTGGTCACATACGCTTATACCATACGTACATACATATAAGTACCAAGAGAGCATTCTACCTCCAAAGTAGCAGTGACATTTAGTAACTGGGAAAATTTTAATTATTCTCCGTATACAAAGTTAGATAGGAAGAGAAAAGAAATTTTTTTTTAATTACCCGTTTAATGTTCACCTATGGTATTTGTGTCTCGCCGAAAATTCATATGTGTAAATATACGACCGTCCCTAACTTAACCTTACTTGTAAGAGCAACGCGAAGATCACCCACTGGTAATACTTGTGCTGCTTGACAAGCGGATGTGGTGCGTGTCCATGAATGTCAGCAGCTTTACTGTTAGAGACACCAGGATAAGGTATAGCGTCTCCGAGGCTCATATTAAAGGCACGAACCATGCTGTACGTAGTGTGTAACCAGCAGAAGGTCTCGAGCACGACCTTATCAACGGAACCGGAAGCCTCGCAGTGTATGGGCGAGCCGGAAATGCTCTTACAGGCGAGAGTGAGACAGCCAGCTAGCAAAAGGGCGACAGTGGCACGATAATGAAGCCGAAATATCATAGTGTCCTCGGATACCCTTTGAACCTTGAAGAGGGACCTTATGGACCCGAAGATGTCTATCATCTTCAACATTATCGGCATCTCGCTGGCACGTGGACCATCGGCACTTCTTGTACCGCTCGATGGATCCGACCTCCTCCAAGGAGTATATCAATTTCTTTATCATCTATCCCGCCTACCCTCTCAATCCTGACCCGAAAATATTTCCGTACCCCACGTGCACCTCCACGACGATGATCTTCCACGTATCCTCATCGTTCGTCCCCATCACCATACACGGCTACTACAACCCATAAACCTCAGTACTAGTATCCAATACTTTTTCTTCGATATTTAGTTAATTTTTGTCGCTCACTTGGAAACGATATTTTTTTTCTTCATCCAACAAGGGTAGTAAAACGAACTACGATACACGAGAGACACGTGGGGCACAGAAGGAAGACGATGCAAGACTGACCGAACTTGAGGGGCATCCCTTGGCCTCGACCAATACTAAACACATATCTTCTGTTTCACCCTTCTCTGCTGCTAATCTCTTATATAGTTCCCGTAAGGGATGATCGTATCGAGAAATGCTCTGATCCTCGATAACATCGTAATGATGCTAAAAGTAGAAAAATCCCTATACCCTCGGACACCCTGAGACGGGTACAGTCTGCTACCAATAATATGTTACCATTCAGACTACACATAAAAGTTGGCAATGGTCTCGTTTGATCGTAGGACCGTTTGGCTGACAGCCCACGGACTGCCAACTCTTGCAGCCGCGTAGGACGTAAAAATGACAGTAGGTACGGAGGAGGCGTGAAGAGGACGGGGGATTTGGGTTGTTTGGTGAAAATGCCAAAGAAACAAGGGATAAAAGAAGAAGATTAAGTAGAAGAGAAAAAAGGGCGAATGAGGACGAGAAATCGTCAAGGCATTCGGGTCATTGTCAAACTATACTTGGACGTGGTGGACGGGGCTAATTCTTAGGAGACCTTATTACGACCTCGACAGAGTTAACCTACCTCTCTATTTTTTCTTTAATTCTACTAATGACCATCCTGGAAAATTCTTCTGAGAACCACTGCGCGTCTGTATATTTTACTAAAGTCAATCGAACGTATATATATAACACGTAGTTATATGCATTAGATAAAAGTAAGACACAGCCACTTTACGACTGTCGAGCAACGACGACCCTCAACGGACGTCCAAGGGAGGTTTTAGTAATGTGCTTAGGGGTTTCTTTCTTGGCAATGAACTACATATAAGCCTTTGTAAGCATCGAGTTGGCAAGTCTTGCCCACAAAAAGATGGCCGATCGCTATTCTTCCGAATCCACTCGTCTCAACGTACTGGGTGATTTGAGTCTTTCGGTTGGTAGCTATGCTGGTGAGGTTGGCACCACGGGGTGTCAGTTCCCGGGTGGTAGAATGCCACAGGAAACTGACTGATTGGAAATACACATTAATTCATAGGGAATATACCATGCGTCTCTGTTCCTGATACATACAGTTATACATAGCTATGAAAAGTAAATATCTTTCACGAAGAATTTTTATCTCGTTACCCATAGTGCTAAGTTTATGATTCATTTTCGTATATTCCTCTGTGTTTTATTCGTATCCATACGTAACTTTTGTAATGATTCATACGTTGGTACACATACTGTATTGTAATGGTGCTGCTGGATTTTTAAACTGGGGCAAACTTCTATAACTCATCTATCGGCTACTACCTGATTTTTCTACAGCCTTGCGCGTAAACTTTACGTATATATGTAACATCATATATATTATATACTGTATATAGATATACTATCTGTTAAGAGAAAGCAATTCCGTAGTGATACAGAGCCAATTCCACTATCTACAACGACTGTACATATGTAGTACAGATACCTAAATATGCGTGTACATGAAGAGTGACGCGAAACCGAAAAAAAAAGTGGTGAAAAGGGAAAGTAATCATTCTTCGTAAAAGCTAAAAAAAAAAATAACACGTCCATCATCCCAGAAACCAAAAATCGATCCGCCAGCTCAGTACCTTGTATAGATATACTGGCACGGGCGAAGGAGAAGAGCGATGTAAGATTGAAGAGCGTTAAATAACAATGAAGAGTAAGGCGATCGACGAGGGATTCAAGTTGGCTAATTAATAAATCTAAATTGAAAAATAATTATTTACACTTACTCCCGTCATTTCGTCGTACCGTATCCCATGGTATTTTAAATCGAGATCTTATCAATCGTATACCAATATTTTGTATAGACAATTTTGAGTAACTATTAAAAATAAATTTTTTTCTTTAATCAGAAATCAATGAGATCTCTTATTCTCGTGATAAAAAATTACCTGAAAGTACAGCATGAAGCAGACCCACTGATAGTACCTGTACACCTTCTTCTCGCTGTCAGGATACAATCTCGAATTATCCACCCCAAGAAACGGCACTTCGTATCCCTCGCGTTTCTTGTAAGCCATAGTTATCGTGTAGGTACTATGTATCCAGCAGTAGGTATTAAGGACATCCTCGGGTATGTCTTTACTGTGTATACAGTCGATGGGATTACCGACGTACTGTCGCGTGGTTACGATAAGGGAAAATGCAACCAGGACCATCACGGTGATGCTGTAGTGTAAACGGAAGACAGCAGAGTCGATGTGAATACGTGAGATCTTAATGAGATTCTTCAGTCCCCGAAATATGTCCAGCATCTTGTATCGGGCGATATATGAATCCGTAACGATCTTGATCCCAGTCGATTGGGACGCGACGGATCTATACGCCACGTGGCCGATCGATCTGCTCGATTGGATCTCGTGACGTCATTCTCCCTCTTCCTCTCTCTATATCCAACGATGTAATTTCTTATTATTGTCCTCGCACTATCTTGCCATTTTTCGTCTTACGTGTCACTGGTTCGCGTCACGTTACCCGTCTTCTCGGTGGACCACGCACCCTGCGGATCCCTCGTCATCCTCCCTGTCGCGATTTTCAAGAGTATAGTATAGTAACTGTATAGGATATGAAGGATCGGACTGGGAGATGATGGCATATACGGATGCATTGGTTCGGCCAACTTTTCTTGGATTTTTCTTATTTTTTCTTTTCAACTACCGGAAATGATCTGCGTGCCCGTAAATTCCGTGAAAATTGGATTCTTTTCGTATCCTTGATTTCGTACCGGTCTTATTTTTTTTACACTTTCTCAACTAACCCATGCTGTGGCTATGTTCCTGGATACTCATTACTATCTCGTCTCCGTTTCTATCTGGAACAAACTCATTTGGCGCGAGACGTACTACTGGAGTCGGTATAATCGGCGAAACTAGCACTGTTGGTAAAGATAGTGATATCTTGTCTGGCTATTCATTATTTTTCTTCTTTTCTTTATTATTCTCCTTCAGACTCTCCTAACCTATCCTTGTCTCTGTTTTACGTGTTAAATTCGTATCTCTTTAGACATTGTCGATATTCCAGGATTCCTCTATCGTAGGGGCTCGTCATCCCCATGGAAAAAAGGAAGTGGCAAGTGGAATAAAGTTCAGAGATCTTGAATTTTTATCTTTGATAAATAATACCCGAATTTTTCCTTTTTTTTTCTTTCTTATATTTCTCTATACATATATCCTTGTCTACGTAGGAAGGTACAACTTTCTGCTCGGTTGTCTCCAAGATCCGTTCGTTATGGACACCCGTTATAGGGGGAAAAAAATGGAAGAATGGATACGGCAAGATATAAAATGACAGAACACAAGCCTTTGGAATTTAGTAATTTTGTTTGATGTGCGTGCCATTCTATTTTAGCTTTAACGTGTACAACTGCACTTTCCTAGGCGAGGCCTAGCGAGTAATAGTAGCTAGTGGCCGGCGTGCGTGAAAATGTGTGAGGACAAAATACAGAAATAGAGCAAGGGGTCTCTTACGGAGTCTTCCTGCTAATATACTCACTGGCTCCAGTTCCCCGGAAAACGTACTATTCGATCACTGGACTCTATATCCGTATAGAGTACCAGAGTAGGATACACACTGAAGTACAAGTATACAATATACCAGACTCGTGATAAGAAAACACCAGCTCAAATATATCCTAAGCCATTCCTTTATCTTCGAGGACTGTTACGTCCGCGATGGTTACGGGGACGATGAACTTGCCCAGGGCTACCCGTACGCAGAGTCCAATTTTGAAAAATGATACAGTCTAGTCTACGGTACCCTAACTATCGAGGATCCTAAGAGCCAGTGTCGTAATTTGAGGTAATCGAAGCACCCGGAAGGGCGTTCCCATCAATTTGTCAGCACGCGTAGTAAACAGTAGCGCCAACGCATGGCCCTCTGATTCACTCCGATGGACCCGAGACTTCCACGTCGTGGCACTGGCCGGATATGTCCACAAGGATGTTATTCTGGGTACGGAACAATGTCTCGAGTAACTGGTGATAATCATTAAAAATTTCACTGACGAAGGAAACAAGGATGACACGGGACCCGGATGCTGCGTGATGAATCTTTCGAAAGTGCAGCAAATTCAAAAACGGGATAAATCATGCAGACGACGAGGATGACGTAGGATCTCGAAATCCTGTGGGATCACGATAATTACAAAAATTCACGTTTCTTATGTCGTACCGAAATTTGTATCTTTCTTTTTTTTTTTCGAAAAATCTTCCCGTCGGCCGGATGATTAGCCCGACCGGTGCCACGCTCATTCACCCGCGCACTACCTTCCACACTCCACACTAGACTCGCCACGCTCCACGCTCCACGCACGGAGAAGCTGAGGAGGAGTCAGGGTGCTCCAGGAATAGATCCGAACCCGAAGAGTAACGTAACGTCAGCCGTCGCTCGCACTACGTCGGCCGTGCCTGACGGAGCCGGGTTTTATATAGGAAGGCATCAGGAACACCAGTAGCGCATTAGGAACGAAAAGGTTCCTGGTCTTATGGCTTAATAATGATCAGACGAAAGGGGAGAGAAAAGAAAATCTTCCCCACTGATAAACAATGTCGATTAGTAAAAATCAATTGCACGCATATAATGATATATCATTGACAAAAAAAGATTGATAAAATTTTACTCATCATTCGCAATTTCATTCCCTTGTGTCTTTTTCTTTGTATGACTGTAATTCCATTCCACGTAGCCTGCCTGTGTATGCCGATAGCTTGAGAGACTCCAGGTTCTCTCTTTGTCTGCTCACTCATAATTCTTCGGATTTTCCTTGTGCTTTCTTCCACGTAGCCATACCGAGCCACGTACGTGGACGATCCATAATAATATCAGTGTTTAGACTAATGTCCACATGTGTATTTTCGATATTAACCAGGAAAACTCTGTAGCTTCTGTCGTGTCGCAACGGGCCAACTAATTTATTATTTGTCCTTCCCGCGCTCGGAGTTCACGCCCTACTAGAGTCTAAAGACCCGTGCGAGGACGTGTACGTAGCAGAATGTTCCAAATATACATAAAGCGTCTGAGTATCCTTAGGTTATTCGTATATATCTACACGTGTATATATATATATTGACGAATAAACGGAGTCTCGTCTTTTTCTGACAATCTGGAATTTGTCCGTAAGGAATGTCGGTGTACGCGCCATGTTCCTCGTTCGAGATATACTTTCGGAAGTGGAATAAATTGTTGTGCATCTTTATTGTTATTATTGTGCTCTATCCAGACGATACTTTCTGCGCGACTTTCAAACGTTCGATCTATCGTATTAGAAGAGATACGAAGATATTGGTATGCGTGGATGGTTCGCGATCTTTATATTGCGTCAGAGGAATCGCAAGTGGGTAAAAACAGTGGCGAAGTGGTAGAACCTCGAGAGGATGCTCTTTCGGCAGCCTCTGTATTGAGGTTAGGTTTGGTAACTAGCAACCCCCTTTACATATATGTGGCTGATACGCACTGCCTGTATATACTTGGCGCACGCCAGGAGTAAAAACAGAGGCTGCTTCTTCTGGCCAATGGAAAATGAAAAGCCTCGGCCCCGTTCGTATACACCTTCTTTCTCTATCTATCTTTCTGTCTGTCCATCCGTCTGCCTATATCTATCCATCTATCTATTCGTATATCTATATATCTCGAAATCAGAGCAATTCTCCTTCGTCGTCCCCAGGTTCAGTTTGGATGATAAAACGTTTTCTATTGGACGTGTTAATATTTATGTCCTTGTGATATACAGCCAACAGTATTTTCAACTTGTCGCCTTTTCCCTCTACGTTTCCAGGTGATATGTCACGCGCCGTGTTTTGACGTAATTGTCAAGGAACAGGGTGAATCTCGTGATAAATCTAAGAGAATAGGTGCTTGTCTTTGATACAAAGTTACGTTCACTTCCCGCTAGGAATAAACGAATGACGACTGTGATGGTGTACGATGCTCGTCGTTCGACCGTCGCGATGTACCGTCAGGAACAAGTTTCTTATAGGTGTGATGGGGTGACTCAATTTTCCTCGGGCTGCTTATTTTCGGACGACTGTCAAGATTCCCTTGAAATACGATGTTCATCCGTACGCGCCGCGACGCTCTCTGCCGATGAATTCCAATCGCGTCTATCGTCAAGCTTCCCTACTTAAAACGTGCGCTCCTGATATCTAAGACTAATCCACGACTGGAAGGGCCTCTTCTTGTTATCGATGAATTAACCCGGGAATGATCGCGCAATTTTGTTCCTCATTTGATAAGCATCGTCTTGGGGTGTCTCATATCGGTCAGCCCACGCGTCTACTCCCGGGTTAATGTCGCTTCGAAGGAGACGCCTTGGGTAAGGTCTCGACGTATTTTTCTTCTTTTTTTTTTTCTATTGCCGACTCTTGGAAAATGCTCTGTTAGTTGACAGCGCCACCGACAGAGTGCAGGTCTTGCCAGATTTGATATGTTAAGGATACTTAGCAGAAGACTGAAGTTGGTTAGGATGTAAATTATATTATTGTTATGTTACGTTATGCTGGTACAAAAATATGGCTATAGTAAATACTAGCGTATCTCGTTATTATGAAATTCATTCATACGGATCTACTGAGAATCATTTACCTGAAAGAATAAGGTGAAAGCGACCCATTGATAATATTTTATTTGTTTGGGTAGGCTCTTCATCATTCTAACACGATCATCCTGCTCCTGGTGATGATGACTGTTTCGATATGGATACTGATGAAGCGATGGTCCCACTCCCGGAAATGCGACGTTTACACCAACTACCCCTAACATTGCACCCGTCACAATATAGGTACTGTGCACCCAGCAATAAGCATTGAATACTTCTACAGGTATCTCTCTGTATAAATAATACAAATCATTGTTTAGAGTATATGAACAATTTATGAACAAGTGGTACAAGCAGTACTCTCAAAAATTGAAAAAAACCTAATTGCTTTTAAAAAAAAATCAAAAAGCGTACCTTGTGTGTACACAGTCTATGGGATTGCCTACAGTCTGTCTTGTGGTAACTGTTATAGAAAATGTCAAAAGTAATGCAGCAGTGAGCACGTGTAATCTTGACACAAAATTATCGCTCTTAATCCTGCTGACCTAAACAATTAATAATAAATATTGTATTAATTATCTCTAGTCCTAGGGCTTCGTCATGGTCGACGTCATTAAACGAAGACTCACTTGAGAGAGAAAATAAAGACCACGAAAAACATCCATTGCCCTAGCCTCGTCTCTGCTCTTAGTTTTGGACCTGGTGGAGCGACGATTCAACTGCTCATTTTTCCTAGGTACTTGCTCGACCTTATTACGAACCTGGCACGGCACCCGTTGGCTACTACCACTACATGACACGGTCTTCATACTCTAAAGAATCATCCCGGCGGAAGAGAATCCATCCAAATACGTCACTTCCTTCGAAGAATCCGTACTATCCTCGACCGCCATTTCTCTGACATCCTTCAACGATGGCTCCTGCCCACCCCGAATCAGGATCATTCGTCACTATCGCACAATCTTATTTTCACTAGAATCTGGACACTCTTTTAAAATAATTATTGTACCCTTGTACTATAATTCGCACCACGTGCCACTCCGGGGATCTCCAACAAACTGAATACCGAGATCCAGTGTGGCAGGGGCAAGACGCGGTTGCCAAAACATAGGCCAATTCTCTCTGGTTCGTTTTTATTTTTATATTGTCCTCCCTTGTTGCTTTTCCATCCCACTATACGATGCGTCGCTGCACGCACACGCGTGCTGATCGCCCACGCCATTATGTATCAACGAGATACTCTTAGCTATAGTAACCCTGGACGTTATTTGTTAATAGAATTGTCTTGAGGAAGATCCATTGATCCATTCTACAATCTTATACAGATTTGAGCAATTACTGGTGAGGTCTGTCTGAACTGATTACAACTATACCTAAGATTGTCTTATAAATTTACAACAAAAGAGTGCTTAACTTTACTCTTAAAACTATGCATAAGCTAAATATGTCCAAAGAGGCCGAGAGGAGGATTAGCATAGCTCTTCCTATCTCCCACCGTCGGCATCCCGTGAGGTCATCTCGTATATATTTATCTATATGTCTCGTGGCCCACTATACCACTATACTCAACGAATCTGGGTTACATGTTAAATCCCCTTCAACGAAAAGCCCTGATCTCAGGAAATTCTTTAGATCGCTTCCAAAGACTCAAAAGTACTCCGGACAAGACTTTATCCTTTAAGTTTGTTTGTTTGACTATTATACACAATGGAACAGACAGTGGTCGTTAAAACTTTAGATAAAGTCTATGCCGACAACAGCAGCTACATGGCATTCACGGGCCTAGGCAATTTCCATAGCGTTTGTTTCTTTTCTTCGTTTACAAATTATTGTTCCCTCGTGCCGGCAGTGAACGTGTAACACGAAGCAATTCGAATTCCAATTTCGTGGCACACTGAACGAATAACAATGCACAATCTATCGTGGGATCGCAAGAGCGGTAATCATGCAACCGTTACAATTAATTTTATTTCATAAATCAATCTTTAATCCTCCTGTGTATGTCTAGCGGTACATGAGAGCTTAGGTTTAATTAAAAATATATATATACCTGGAGGAATTACGTCCTACTATGAGGACTGTTCAAAAAAGTTATTTCAAATGATAAGGCTTCGTCAGCGCTATTATTGAGTAGTACCTAGAATTGTCTACGGTACGAAATGTCTTCTACTACTGTTTAGTTAGGTGGTTGGCGCCAACCGAACAGAACACAACTAGGTAAATTATTTAATTCGTTGAGTATATTAACGGAAATATCATGTAGCGTACTGTGCGCTATTATTATAATCATTAATATTATACTAATATGTGTGGAAGACAACACGCGAGCCTCTGATTCGCCTATGTGTATATTAAATAAAATACAACGCGTGTAATGATTATCCCATTGGCAATGGCGAATATTGGACATATTAGTTTAGTCACTGTCATCGTCGTGGTTATAATCTGTCATCACGCGGGCAGCGGCCTTTCAGTTCGAGATTCAGTCTTCGTGAACGTCAGGGCGGTGCTAGTTGCGATTCAAGGACGCGATGTCACGAGCAAACCAATAAAACAGAATAAACAAAATAAGATATGAAAGAAGTATGACAAGTATAACCGAAATGAAATGCGGTTTCTTGAGCAATAATTGTAAAGTTCACTTGAGATAACTTTGAAGATGAAACAAAAAAAAAATGAAAAATGATAAAGAAATAAAAGAAAACCGCGCCGATTATCGCGAGCGTCCCAACCGTCAAATTGGAATGATGTATTCACGGTCATCTTATAAGTAGAAGTCCTAAATAGAAAGTCTCCTTATTATAATTTTCTATATTGGATCTATGCTATTTGCTATAGAGATTTTCACCTCGTCCTCTTCGATTCTTCATCCTCGTCTTCGTCGTTCCCTTCATCTGTTATATTTCTCTCTCATATTTTCGTACTCCTAGCACTTCTTCTCTTGACCAACAATCTACTTCTTGTCCTCCCGATGACCAATGAGACTGTCGTCTGTAATCGAAGAGATGAGATTAAAATATGAACACAGTTATTCGCCAATTTTAGGCTCATTACGCGACACACCGACTGTGAACTAGGATTATTACCCATTTTCTTGGTGAGCTCCTGTATCAGGTCCCGGTAGATCAGTGGATCCATGTTCGCTGAGAGGGTGTAGAGGACCCACCAGTCACCCAGATTTGTCTTCCGACTGATACTCCGACACCATTCTATTGGCAGTACGCGGGCTGAGACCTGGAGCAACCTGGGTCTAATCGACGGGGTGAAAATAATGATCGCTCTGTAAATCAGCAGACCGATCAGCATCACCGAGAGTATAAGGAACCAAAACCATATGAATATGTATGTCTTCTCGTTGACAATGTTCAACGGTAGTAAACAGAGTGAGTCGTGCATCTGTATAGTTCCTGAAGCACCATATTTGTGGAAGATGCACTTGGTTACTCGTGGAAACACATAGACCATGGGGTCGATGCGCTCCTCCTGGGGAGCATCAGAGAACTGAATAACGCGTAGTCCGTAACTCAGGAATTCGCCGTCGAAGAATTTATTCATCAAGTATAGCTGAACGCAGATGTTCACAAGGCATAGCATCTCGCAGGCGAAATACCGATAGGCGTACATGTTGTGTCTCTGTGGAAGCGAACGTGAAATTATCATTAATTGAATTCAATGAAAACGAATTGGACCTATTGCTATGGTGATTTTATAAATGGAAGTCTCATGCTAATTGTCTTTCTTCTTCTTGTCTTTCTAAAACCATTTCTCAATTTACCTTGACGTGTTTCATAAGGTAATCCATAAGGATCTTCTTTTTCTTGATCTTTTCGTCCTCCCTACAAAGTCCATGATTCATTCCCATCACTAGGGTGTTGATCAGGCCACCCTCCCAGGCATTCCACAGCCACTGAGGTACGTAGCAAAATATAGCCTGTAAAAGCAAATATAACAATTTACACCTGTAGTATACTTCTGTAATTACTATATGTATCACACGTATATGCAAGGGAGATCCCATAGCAGTGTATGATTAGGGTGAAACTGATACACCAATGAATCTCAGTGTTATTTCACAGTAGATATTAAATACTAAGCACGTGCACAGTCCGATATGTTACCTGGAAGAAGAGGACGAAACAGACCCACTGATAATACGTATAGTACTTGCGGGCATCGACATCTCCAAAGTCGTTAGCTACACCGGGATGCGCAACTTCCATACCGACCTGAATGAGAAAGACACAGTAATAACTTTTATCGATAGAGTCCCAAAAGAGAAAGAGACAAGAAGAGAATAAATTAGAATGAAATAGACTGAGCAACGGTACGAACCTGTCTATTAAATGCATCAGGCATCGTGAACGTCGACGTGATCCAGCAGTAAGTGTTGATAGCGTGAGTAGGTAGATCCTTGTTCACGATGCAGGATATCGGATTGCCGACGTACTGTGTGGCAGTAATGATAAGTGAACAGGTCATCAGGAGCACAGTAGTGAATAAATTGTGCATTCGAAAAACCAAGGAATCCGTCGTGATCTCCTGCCATTTTAAATAGCTTCCGAGGCTACCGAGTAACTTATACATGGCTGTTGTCTTCTAATCGGTATTTTCTCGCATGGAATACTTAAAAAGAAAAATATAAATTTATAAATCATCTATAAAACAAGATGTCAACGTTCATACGAGCGTACGCTTAGGTTCAATATCTGCATAAAGTATTACGTATATACATTGTATGGACATCATTATATTATCTAATGGAAAATTTACTGTGATCCAAAAGATTGTTTTCTACTGTATATACAAAGTGCATATCGTTAACGATTATAACCGTCTACCTGTAGTCAAGCCATACAACATAGAAGCCAAATGTTTTTAACTGATAAGCAAGAGTAAATATGCAGTATTTAACATTGTTATTTATCTTGAGCCTGCTCAATTGGACTTCAAGGTAAGATCCTTAACAGAACAATTTATATTCATATGCAGACGACACGTGGTAGGGTCTTGGAAAAACGGTTATCTTCCATCTGTCAGAATTGAAATTGTCGCTTCAGCTTCACTGTATACAAATTTATCACAATTCTGTAATTCCTTGACAGTCCAACAAACGTCGAACCAAACGCAGCGAAATTTTCGTCGTCCCAATACGTTAAAGAGATTGCAATTTACTTTTACTTACGAATCCAAAATATTACAACCTGCCATAACCATAACCTTTGTGTCTCTACCATAAATAACATGTCTTTTCTCTAGAATGAAAAACTATTCAGTCACTCATTTGAGAAACACGCTCTCTTACCACAGTTCTGTTTACAAAGTCCAACATGTACCACACTTTTTGAATCTCAGTAGGTTGTACTACGTGTCACCGAGGACCGACCTCCTCCCCCCACCGCATACGTACAGGCTCTTTCAAAGTCCTTATAACTCTCCGTGATAGTGTGATAGCGTTATGCAAAGAATTTCGGACGCAAACCACGAGCTTCCTCCATTAATTGTCAGCTCTGATATGTATTAAGCGAGTCCGAATACGGCGGCGCTCGCTACCGAATCTTGTCGGCGTACGTACGTAGCACTCTCTTCAACAGCAACTGACGAGAAGTAGAAGTTTGCTTGTTGTGTGTGGTGACTGTGATGGGTTGAGGGCGCCGGGTGGGGATCCTTAGGGGGCACACACCAGTCCCCAACAGAACCCCACTATTTAGATATAGTAAAAGCTGGCCCGATTTACTATATTGTATGCTGTACGGCCACTGTTAGCACCAGACGTTGCTTTTATAATACCGACTTTGGTTTTACCTCGCTTCGACTACTTTCGAGCACTTTCGGCAAACTTCGGATTCTATGGGCCTTTAGTCTGTACGCTATAGGAACAGTGTATACTCTATTCAATGTCTAATAAATATGGTTGACTTTACTCTTCGGAGGGAATTCCACGGTTCTCTGGAGAAGGAGAATTCGCTCCCTGACGATTTTTTACGTTTCTCACGATACTCCAGCACGTCGACTACACGAACAACAATGATTCTTCTCCAGGAATACATACAACCAGTGGGAATGAATTCCCAGTAAATGGGCTTCGTGTTAGTCTTGCAAAAGCCCGTACCATTATTATCCTCGTCGATTCTAATTATCTTCGTGCAATCCTGACCATTGACGAGTTCCCTCGAGGCTAAAGCCCTGTGGATTTCTTATTACTGATACATGTTTATATGCTTACAAGCATACGCAGTGTGCATAGAGGTAGGATCTATCTTCATTTCCAGTCGTACATACGTATGCAAATACGTAGGCGTCGTTTAATTCTCTGCTGTGCATTGATATTCATGGTACAGTCTTGAAGCCTTGAGAATCATATCTTTTCTATATCATGGAAATAATTAGATATTCTAATACAACGTGCAGAAATTCATGCACGAACTTTTATCCGATCGAATAGACACGGGCGTTGTAAAATAGCTGTAAATATTCTACAGAAGATACTATAGTAAAATACTTGGATCGTATCACCGACTTTCACCTTTTTCCTTGACTTTTTGTCATGACAGTGCTGCTTTACTGATCTTCTTGTGCATTACATTGTAACAATCTATCCGTTCCAGGGAATGCAACTGTTCCGCTGCGCAAAGAGAGATGCCATTCTAACCTAGGAATTCTATTGGCCACTCCGTCTATACTTATATACATACACAGGTATATACTAATCACTATTCGCTATTAAAATCTTCATGTCGGTAGCCTTGGTATCCAATCAAGTAGTATGAAGATAAGAGTCACTTTTTCTTAAAGTGTCATTGAACATTTTTGACTAACAATAAGACTTTTTTAAAAGATGAACTAATGCCAATCTCATGCCGAAATTAGAAACGCTTACCTGTACATTATGTGCTGTCGTACATTGAAGTGTCTATAAAAAAATATCCATTGTCCTGGTACCACCGAAGAAACAAAATCTTGCCTTTCTCGGTGTATCACGCAGTTAATTCGATGAGGAAAACGAAAAAAGTTTGACGTTTCTTTATCCTCCTGGAAGTCACGATACGCTGAGTAAACGTACGTAAAGTTACGTGGCCCAACTGGAAGGAGTCGCCCAAACGTTTTTAGAAGCCGGGTAAACGTGCTTTCTATATTTTTCTTGCCGTATGCTTCTTGTCTCTTTGTACGCTTTAAGAATGATACACAGCCGAAATTAGAAACGCTTACCTGTACATTATGTGCTGTCGTACATTGAAGTGTCTATAAAAAAATATCCATTGTCCTGGTACCACCGAAGAAACAAAATCTTGCCTTTCTCGGTGTATCACGCAGTTAATTCGATGAGGAAAACGAAAAAAGTTTGACGTTTCTTTATCCTCCTGGAAGTCACGATACGCTGAGTAAACGTACGTAAAGTTACGTGGCCCAACTGGAAGGAGTCGCCCAAACGTTTTTAGAAGCCGGGTAAACGTGCTTTCTATATTTTTCTTGCCGTATGCTTCTTGTCTCTTATATATATATATATATATATATATATATATATATATATATATACCCATAACTTAATGCACATGGACCCATATTCTTTCTACTACGGATTATATCTGTACGTAAAATAATAGTGCGTGCTACACGCCACACTTACTCTTGTACGCACGTGGTATGCATATGATGTTCCTTTTTCATTGCGTCTAGCCCCCCTTTGTCTTGGCACATGTGCAATATGATGCAATCGTATGCAACCTGATGTCTCCCATCCGGACGTGTAAGTATGTATACATATTATATGGAACGGCTTCATCCAAAGAATTGGCTATTAACGGACACTACGAAAATTCAACTTTAATCCTCTGCAATGTAAATTGACTATAACACAGTTGTTCTGTTATTTGCTCTAAAGTCTGGATGAACATCAGTAAGAGTAAGAGAGACATAGGTTAAAAGAGAAGGAGAAAAACGTCCCCTGTCGACGCAAACGACTACTTACGTATCGCTTAAGGCTAATTAGAGTGTGTTGGATGTACACGCCACGTCAAAAATATTGTAAGAACCCGGAAAATTATTTTTATCTATATTTTCAAAGATATTACTTTTTTTTTAGCAAGCAACCATGACTGGTCGGTTCGTTGAATTTTTTCCTGAAAGTCCAGTCTGTAACAATTCTAAGTAATTTTCAGACACGGATCGGTCGTGGATCCAATTTAAAATGTGTTATGGACCGCCGACGGGTACTGTGTTAAATCAAATTACGCGACCTTCAAAACGGTATGGTTGAGTGGCAAGAGTCGAATATGCTTTTCAAGATATATCCTTTCAATGCTGAATCCACCAAGATTCCAGTGCTTAAGGATCACTCGTCTGTTACCCTGAGCACCACTGTGGGTCAATCGTGTCAATTATGACGAATGTATGTCGCATGTCGACACTGTAGGTTTGTCTTATGTTAGCCGTAAGGCCCTTTGTGTATACCTACTATTAGCTGCCCCTCTACCCAGTTGCACTTATATACACGAGACTAACTCGAGGTACCCTCGCGCCTTCCCCATTCGTTATTTCTTAAGGCGGTTCTCAATGCTCATTTTTCTAGGCAATGTCGTAAACCTCTTTACCTGTCCAAGAGGGTACAGAACAGCCGATACCGATCCGACTAAATGAGTATACTCTAATGCCCCCATGCAAGTGTACCCAAGTATACCAACGTCTGGTCCCATACCCCAGGATCCCATGGTACGGTAAGACGTGCCACGGATCACGTAGGTCCCCCATAAGACGGAGAAAAAGGGGAACCCGTTCCCCAAGTGGAAAAAGGAAATTTCCAAGAGCCATAAGGGTCCGTGTACTACGTATAAGGAACCAGCTGTCTTACAGATTTCAAGCAGACTTTACCAACTCGTAAACTTCATTTTACTCCTCGTGGTTCTATTTACGTCACAACGCCCAGGACACGATTTTAAGTATAACAAATATAAATGCTTGATCATCGTTCTTTTTTTTTTTTTACTTTCACAGATGCTCGTGTCGTCATACGTAACAGATACGTTCACGCCTGTTTACTCCAGGCTCGCGTAATGTCTGCTGGTTCTCGCTGTACCGATACGCTCTGACGATTTATTCCTCACGCGGATAAAGGGAACGAGGACAACATTAAATTTAGAAATCGTTAGTCCTGTCTTCGATTTCCCTATTATCCTATCGACAGTTGTACAATTGATTTTCGAACATTGTAGTAAATTGATTCTTTATTAATGATTAAGTGTACAGTAATTTTTTTTTTTTTTTTAGGATTTAATGTTACTCGTATCGTGCTCGTTCGCGGTCGAAGAACTTACGAAAATTCATCTCCTCCCGGCATTCGCATAGAGTCTTGCTAGTTCGGCTTCTTTGCCACCGAAAATGCCCAAAAATATTTATCTGCTCTTGGCATTTACGTAGTTGGAGTCCCATTAATCGCGGCTTTGCTATTCGCACGATTTCCAAAAACTCAATCCCCGCAAATAGCGAGGAAATACAGTATCTTAATTAATTGACAAATAAATAACTACAAATTCCAATACAGCTGCCCTCATTTTTTCTCATATCTGGTACCGACTTTCTGCTTTTCTCTTTTTTTTTTTATTTTTCTTTAACTGAACTTTCTTTATCCTTCTACTTTTCACAATCAGTCTCGTTCTTGTACTCTTAAATACGTGTACGTGCGTAGTGTGACCAAGGCTCCCCTTTCCCCGTCATGGACCCCCTTCGTTTTATCTAACGATCATAACTGTCCTAACGATCCTGAACGCGGGTTAGAAAATCTATCCAGTCTTCGGCGTCTAATACAAACTTTCTATATGATCAAATAGAAAAAGTGGGGGGTACTAATTTTCATGTCAAGGGATTAGATGTTTACTTGAAACGAGTATCAGCAAATTGTCACTTTTTTGGAAAATAGTTTTAAGCGTCCATCGTCAGGGGCTCCTCTTCAAATTCAGGATAAAGAGTGTAGCTTGACTTTCGTCTGTTTTCCAAATCCCTTGCCAGATGTTCGAACAGATCCTTGAAGACGTAGCTATCCAAATTTTTGGCAATGTAATAAATGAAGAGCCAGTCCCCAAAGGAATAGTGATTTGTCACTCTGAGAACTGTCCATGGATTGTACTTCCCAGGCGAAGCCATGGAGAAGACGATTCTGTTGAAAATATCGCTCCTAAGATATGAGGGGAAAAAAAAAGAAAAAAAAAAATTATTTTTACATTTTCAAAGAAACATCAACGAAATACTATGACCGCCATTACGAACCACCTACCTGGCGTGTAAAATCATTGTAAGAATTCGCCACAGTAATCCGAGCCCGGTTAATATAGCCAGTATCGCGAACCAGAACCAAAGGAAAGTATAAATTTTTTCATTTATAATATTCAAAGCCATAACACACAGAGCATCGTGTTTCTGCATCGACCCGGAAGGACCATACTTGTGAAACGTGCACTTGGTAACTTTTGGAAAGACGATGTCTAGAGGATCCATGTGATCTGTATAAGTACCATCGGCAATAGTATCGGCAAGACCCAAAAAGGTCCCACCTAAGAATTTATCAGTTATATAAATCTGCATCAAGACGTTGACAAAGTTCAAGAGCTCGCATAAGCCAAGGTAATAGGCCCAGGGTTTATTGATATGTAACCGGTTTATAAATGCTTGACGAATTTGCCAAATTCTTTCCCCCCGAAAGTTCTTCGACGGTATCGTCAGACGGTCGTTCACTATCGTTTCTTTGTCGCCTAGAGCCAAAGAGGCCACGTGCAGTCCTGACACAAGAACGTTCAGGCGGTTATCTTGAGCAGGAGAATAAGCAAGGATAAGTAACGATATAAAAGTAATAAATATTTTAGAAATTTTTTTTCACCTACCTTCAAGATTTTTCCATATGGCATGAGGCAGGTAGAATAATATTGCTTGGAAAAACAATACAAATGGTACCCATTGATAGTATGCATGGTAGACTATAGGATCATCATCATTGACCGGTCCTATTCCGGGATGTGGTATGCTCCCTTGCTCCAGGACGGTTGCATTCATATGTTTCACCTAATAAGAATATATCATTTAATTAATTCTAGTATAACGCCCAGACCGGTTGAGAGCAGCGTTTAGCCTTGTTTTAACTCACCACTGTGAACGTCGACATAAAGAAACAGAAGGTGTCTATAACGTGAGGCGCCACAGACGTATCCGCTATACATCTACGTTAGAGATATAACGTTGGATTTGTCAATCGATGGAAATCCTAATATCAAGACAGGCACAGTATGGCATATCAATGAGCAAGACTTACCTGATATGCTCGCCAAAAAATTCTCTGGAGCAGACGAGAAGAGAGGCGACGAGAAGGGCGATAAAAGTAACTCTGTAGTGGAGGCGAAAAACTAAAATTTCAATATATATCGTAAATAAGGACTAAAAGTAATTATTACACGCGATATATTTTACTTACCAATATTATCAATGAACACAGCATCCTGATTGACTTTAAAATTCACGTGACTTTTAAGCACGGAAAGTGTGGTCAGAACAGTGTTGACCATAATATATATATATTTTTTTAATTTCTACACTGTGAATATTCCCAGATAAAATGTCTAGTGACTTTGACAAATCACTAGATATTGACCTTCGGTACTAACGAACTGTTCGACAGGTCGCGGTTCGCTGGACACGAACAGTTCGATGAACGGACTGATGTTGCTGACGAACTTCGAGAAGTACGTTAAAATATCTCGATCTTTGTTAAACGATGATCGAGTCGTCACTGAATATGAGGTTAAACAATCTTTTTTGTCTTATCGCGGCGCGCCAATGTGAGCTGTACATATTATAAAGATAAACGTACACGTACGTATAATTCTTATAGAGGGGACAATATTGTCAGTCTCAGAACGTCAGTCAGTCAGATAAGGGTAAGATAAAGTCCAACTTATCCGTAGAAATAATGGGCTGACTCCTTCCTTCGGGAAATCTACAATTACCTTGTGTTCTGTCATTGACAGTTAGTTAAGCCTCACCTGATTTATGATTACAAAAAATAAGATTTTCAAAATGAATCACTTTAATGAGCGTCAACGTTATTCCAAGATTATTTACTCATTTTCAAATAAAAATTACGAAGTTACCGACCCCCTCGTATTAAGAAAACAATTAATTAATCAATCTCTCAGGATTACAAACTACCAAGAAAGAATATGGTTACAATCGGAGGAACAAGTCAGGAGGGCAGCGTCTATTGGACGGCAAGTACGGTGACCGGCCGTTGCCCCCTTCACGAGCCTTACAAGTCACGTCTTCTCTCGTGTCGTCCATCTTTCGTCGCTTTGGTTCTCTCCAGCCGTCAGAGGTCTCCCCGAGTCTCCCAAAGGAGCCGTACAGACATAACCTCTACGAATCCATACCGCAGGTATCCCGCACAACGCATAATGTCCAAAAGTCGTCGTTAAGCCGTCTAATGGCACAGAACTTGTCTTTAAGTCATCTTAAAGATGACTTTTGGACACATATGTTGTCTGGGAAAGTACTATACTATTGTCACAGCAAGTAAAGCGACTCTGTCCATTAAAATTCCATAACCATTTTTCTACGTACAGAAAGTGTCCGATACCTGTTGACGATTACTGTCGTGCTATACTTTCTGGGAATTACAACAGAATCCATTGTCATAACCACAAAAAATGACACTTCTATATATATTGACGTTTGAAACTGATTAGATTTATCGGATTCTAATGGTACAATACAAGATAGAAAAAGAGAGAGAAGGATTCGTCATCAAGAATATACTATAAGGTTGAGATTCTATAGTATAATAACCCTATGACCGCTCACGTGCATAAATGCATTACTATACTTCTTGGTATTTAAAGTTACGTATATTTTATATATATAAAAGGCCTGAAAAGTGGAAAAAATATTCACGACAATCGCCAATCGTCAAGCCTCAATCATTTAACAAGCTTCGGTGCTGCAACTTCAGTCCTTGTCAGCTCCAGTGCATAGTGCATGTAATATGCAGAAAGGGGCTACTCTATTATAAGTCTATATATACCATATACATGCTGTATATAAACCGGAGGACGAACTCGTCTAGTTATCTATAACAAGCTACAACGTAATCCGTTAGGAGCAGGGTCCCTGCATGTAATTCCTCCTAGATTGAAGGTCAAGCCCTGACTGACTGTTAGCCATTATAGATGAGGACTAGCACCCATTCTATCTACGTAACTGGGTAATCAGCCCCGGGTTGTGTATTTCGTAATCATGAAATTAAGACGGCAGCAGCTGCTCCGTGAAACTAGAGCAACAGTTTACTTCTGAACAGTGCACCAAGAAGCGTGTAACCTATAAGGACATTCCTACTGGTATTGCCATACAACACGCGTACTATAGTATATTATAGTTACGCTTTTCTACTCAATTCTACTCTACTCGCATTTCTTTGATATTACACCAGTGCTGCTATTAGATCTTTTGTTACTGCTGAATGCGCGACTCTAGTAGTTGATAGTAGATAACATTGAACGGGGAACAGCATGAGAAAAGAATTATAAACTAAATGCATTTATGATATATTTGAAGAGCACGGTATTTCAAGAGTCAGGAGTGTGTAACTAGAAATAAGAATTTTTCTTAAGTTTTCTTAGGAATTCGATTAATATAAACGTAATTTAATGTTGATAAGTTTACATAAAGCAGGTCCTTATATGGTTTATGTAGCTAGATGATTAATTTCTATATTAGATAGTGTACATCATAAAGTGTTGAAAATAGTGAAAAAGAATCGAGATTAGTTTACGAGGAACGATAAGATACGCTCGCCGTGATAATACAAAAATGGGAAATAAATAATTTGAAGTCGAAGACCTTATTGTAGATTTCTTAATTTTTTTTTATTGTTGTTTAACACTTTTATTATTCTATTCCCTCCTACGTTAGTCACTAAAGAAATCTCCGGCAACGGCTGATCTGTACACTTTATCCTATGAAGAAATTACTAGAGGAGTAGTGCTTTGTTATTTTTGTCAGCGACTGTACCTATATTGTTCTAACATTGTAGACGTAGACAATAGTATAAGAACAAAGAGAATAAGAAATCCGAAGCATACATATATGCCCGTAATGTTATCACGAAATTGAAAAAAGCTTAAATTTTTTTTCAAGAAAGCAGAAAATGGCCGCATGGGAACCAAACGGCTCGTCGGTCAAGTTCTAGAAGCATAAAAATCCGCGAATGCATTCAAGGTCCGGTTTCTTAAACCATGAAAACTTCACAGTTTACAGTTCCGTGAGCTAGCATTATTCACGAATACCGATTCGATTCGTAATATCGGTATGACAAAATGGCGTTCGCGGAAACTTTACTCACGCCTGGGGTCTGCCTATTGTGAAACTGACTTGTACCTATTACAACCAAGAGAGACATACTTAACCTGGCCTATACAGACACTGTACGGTATAGTTGTAGATCCTATCCCAGATCATAGATCCATTCTCATAGATTATTGTGACCAGGAGAAAATGTTCTTAAAGAGAAAAAAAAAACACATTCTCCCCGAGGCACTGGCCAATCTAGTGAAATGTCTCTGTGTCCTTTTGGAATGATGATTTTTTTTCTCAATCTCTCCTCAAAGCCCAGGATAATTAATTCCTCGAGTAACGTAATCGACAGTTTATTAAAACGATCAGCAAATTTGATTCCACTAATACGTTCACGGCGCAACACATGGGAGCAACGAATTGCGGCCATCGTGATCGACTATTCTAATCTATAATATACCATTACTAATATTACATATGTAAAATTAATTCCTACACAGGAGATATTGTGCGTATGTATAATAATTATATATATATTTCTTTAATCTACATATATATATTCTCCTTTATTATTGCAATTTATCCTTACAATATTTCAATATCGTTTATAAGCTATTGTCATCGTCTATCACTGTTCCCTCCACTCATCCGGACAATCGTCATAACCGTTAATTATAATATAATCTATCGGAATCTTATCTCTAGATTGGCGGTACGCGTAGGATTCGCAGACGATTTTCCTGCGTAGAGGAAGAACGAAGATCGAAAGGAGCAAAAAAGAGCGCACAAAAATAGAATAAGAACAATAATAATGTAAATACAAAGTAAAAGGCTAGTCGCTCGTACCACCATGAGGAGCTATGTCGTCACGGGTACAGATGCCATTTTGCTTTATCATAATCAACTGAGAATTCTCTTGCATTAATTGTGCAGGCACTTTTCTTCTCTCTTTACGCCTATGGTCTACCGTAGCTCTCCTTTTTATTTTTTATTATTACTCCCATCTCGAGCAAAGCACAAACATGAGATGCTGCGCCCTTATGCTCCGTGCTCGAAATATTAGTGAAGAAACAACCTTGCTGTGTTCAAATTTGCTCCGTTTCGCTAGTCTAGTAATTACGATTTTCACGTTCCTTTCTTTCTCACGTTCGTCGCGAACGTCAAAGAAAAGTGGTACTCGTCTACTCGTCAGGAGTGAAGGAAAGCACTGGAGAATAAATGAAAAATACTTAAATCACGTGTAAGACAAATAATCCGAGTCTGGCGAGTTTGTTAAACTAAAAAGAGAAAAGGAGCGTTGCGTAAGCGCCGCTAAATTTAAACTAATCGCACTTACAGGGAGACTAAGAGGAAATTATTTTTGAGATACAAACGCAAAAAGTAAATTATTAAAGGGCAACGTGGAAACTATCGACGAACGGAGTGCATCGATTTCTTGGCAGTCTTAGCTTGAGCATCGTTTCTCAAGAGTGACGTACAATTGACTATTTATATATAGTATTGTCTTTTTCTTTCTTTCTACAAGTTACATATATCGTTTTACTAGCAAGTAAATAACTAGCGTGGAAATATGTGCGATAGCGCATTTAATGATAATATTATCGTGGTTGTATTAAAATGCGAGGAGAGGAAAGCAAAAGACAAGAAAGAAACCAGGAAGCCCGGCGGTTAATGAGTAACGGGTTATTGAGAAGCATCGTTTTCAATATAAAGAAAAGAAAAACAATGATACGAGGGCTAGGACATAAAAAGCACAAATCATATGATACTAGGCGTGTAGCCTGAGACAACGAACGCTTTCAAGGCTCCCGCCAAAATGATGGCAAAGGTAAAAACGAAGTGAGAAAATTAAAGGGGAAAAAAAAAACCACGAGAAACAATAGTCAATGGGCAATACAAAAAATCATAAGGCAATGGCGCGAGCACTCTTTCTCCTCTTTCACTTTCTATTTGGCCCCCTTTTTTTCTCGTGGAATGAAAATACTTGACGCTTTGATACAAGTATATATGTATATAGATGAATATACATATATATACACACATAAATGTATATTCCTTTTGTATAACTAAAACTATATTTATATGTATGTATATATGTAAGATATATACTACTACTGCAATAGCGAAGTAATTGGTAGGATAAAGGTTATGCTACTGGAGGGACGACGTCTCCGTTTTTCTACTCCATGCTGCAACGGCCGTTGTACAAAGAGGTATTTTGAAAACAAAAACAAAACTATGTATATTCGGAGTTTACAAGGGAGAGTAATCGCACGAAAGGACGTCCCTCGATTATCACAATTAGAGTCTACCGAATTCTCGGCCCAGGACTGCTCTTTAAATCTAACATGTGATTGTCGAAAGTGCTCCGTCGAACACCCTCTGTTGGGAGACAAAGAAAGTTTTAGTGGAATGGATGGACGGATGGGACGATATAGAATATTCTATAAGTCAATTATAACGTTTAATTTAACATTGAAGGATGATGCTAGGAGGTCTCTTCTCTCTCCGTCATAAGATTCAGATCCTGAGCTTCGTTTGGGGACCCCAATCGAACCGATCCAATATGAACAAGGATCGACAATGCTGCTGCTAATTTTTGTGAGTCCAACGAAGATCTAGACGTTTTCCTTTCCTTCTATCTTTTTCGCTAAGTCCGCCACCAGCTCCTTGTAGATGAGGGGGTCGATATTCTTGCCCAATTGATACAGGACGAACCAGTCGCCGATCTGACACTTATCCGAGATGGCTTTTATCTGTTCATGTGGCGAGAGGCGGGATCGGGCCCGAAGAAGTACCAGACGAAGCTTGGGTCCTGCTACCACAGCAGCACGATATGCCAGGCTCAAACCGCTCAGGATGGCGAGGATGATGAACCAGAACCAGAGGAAGACGTAGATCTTCTCGTTGACGATGTTAAGCGGCAATACGCAGAGACCGTCGAATTTCTGCACTGTACCGGAAGCACCATATTTATGAAAGGTACACTTTGTTACCTTAGGGAAGACACGAGACATAGGATCAACCCTCTCCTCGGGTTCCATCTCAGTAAATCTTACAACGTCCGGGCCGTAGGTAGTGAATTCACCACCCAGGAAGAAATCCATGAAATATATCTGTCCTACGACATTAATAAAGTTGAGAACCTCACAGAGGAAAAATCGGAATGCATAGAAATTTTGCGTGTGAAGATTCGTCGCGAAGTAGTCCACCAGCAGTTTCTTACGATCCATCTTACAATCCTCATTGACCACAGGGCAATTCAAGTCCAATACAAGCATTTTGATCCTACCACCTTCCCAGGTCTTCCACAGGTAGCGTGGCACGTAGAAAAGTATCGCTTGGAAGAACAGCACAAAGCATACCCACTGGTAATATTTATGGTACTTTACTTCATCCTGTCCTTCTATGTGGGATGCAACACCAGGCTGGACAACATCCTTCCCAACGATTCCAACACGATTTGGTATAGTGAACGTCGAGTAAATCCAGCAGTACGTGTCCATCACATGCAGCGGTATCTCATCCACAATACAATCTATAGGGTCTCCTATGTATTGTCTAGACGTAACCAAAAGACTAAAGGCTATCAGTATAATAACCGTAGCTTTATAATGCAATCTGAACACATTGTTGTCTATACAGACAGAGTCAATTTTGAGTAACCCCTTAACAGATCCGAAGACGTCAAACATGTTGGCGTTTCTGTATCACAATCACTGTCTGTATACGAAAGACGAAATAAACGTAAGGTAACACGTATGTTAAATTCCTGGTTTGCAGCTACCGGCAAACAACACAACAAACACTGCACTATTATATATCGTTCACTAGCACGTAATGGCAGACTACACGACACACGAGTTCGGCGTACTCTCTATTCGCTCTTAGCGTCGGGGACCGAAGACTGCCGAACGTTCATAACCCCCACTCTAGGCTACCCTCACGAAGAGTTCCTTCTGTGTTGCCCCACCGAAGTTCCCCACTACTGGACACCAGCGCAGTCGTATGGGCCTTCCACTAGAGGGACAGGCAAGCGCATGCGCGACGGTCCCCAAACTTTCTGTTACCATGGAGACCGACGATTTAGACCTACGTACAGTCAACCTATACTGACCCACCTATTCCATAAGCAGGGTGTTTACCTGATCCTCCATATTTTCCTACCTTACCTGATCTCCGTAGACGACCAACAATCGCTTAGACCTGGTGTAACCCTGGATATGTCCGCTCTATGACGCATCCATAATTGAATATCTCTCTATACGACTAACCGAATTCCAGTTAATTCCTTCAAGACGATAGTGGTCAGGATGAATGTTGTGGTTTTCGAAAAAAATTTTTAGATTCAGTTTCCTATTATAATTATATATGTAGATTTTCATGAGAATACGGTACTTTTCTTTACAAGGTCGTATTTCTTAGAAACACACATTGCATTTGATGTTCTTTGATTGTGTTCCATGGAAGATGCCAATGGCGTAGCCAAGTACTGAAGGCGCAAGCTGTGTTATGCAAGGACGTGCAAAAATTCTAAATATTTTAAGATATGACTGTCTGTAATATAAATGCCTTCGCAGGTGTTGATTTACAAAAATTCAATGGAAAGAGAACCACTGTAAACGTGCATTCAAACAATGTCTCTTATCATACCATAGTGTCTCATAGTACAAATACCTGATATTATCACCTCTGATATGTTATGAAGAAAGAATGACACTTTTGCTATAGGAACAAATTTGACAATGAATGCTAGTTCCTTTTTAGATGGTGTCATATCTATTCGTTTTTTAAATTATCGTTTGGTCTCCTTTGTTTTCAGTCATTCTGGCTGAATATCTACCCACGAGTCAAGCAGTCAGTATCATACCACAGTCTTGTACATAGAAGTCTATAGAAACCCGTTTCTAATTTTCACCTGGAATTTCATTTGAAATTAACGGTTTTTCGTGGTAATCTAAAGGTACGGTTAGTTCTACACAACCGCTCTAACTACACACTATTCATCTAGATCACATAGCCATGAATGCTTTCCCATCTGCTAATCAGCATTGTGATTATCTAAATACGTTTACATAACCTCTTTTTCTAGATATATATACGTATAAATGCTTTTATGTACTTCAACGGACGTTGTCCCAATGAAACCACAGTGACTACAGAGTGACATACAATCTATACATTGAGGACAAAGACTTTACCGTCGGATACTGGAAGCTTGTACATACAACTGGTCACCCGTTACATTATCATGCTGCAGTCGTAGCATTAACTGTACTTTTACCTGCGATATGAGATACAACCAATTCTATTCCGTGGCGCCGTGTGGTTCTCAATATGAGAAAGTACTGCACTATGGTTACCATAATATCACATCAAATATTTTATACCGCTGTATAATATCTAGAGGGTCGAATTATTCAGATTTCCCAGTGACACATAGTGAGTCTATACAATTCTTGGAAATAGGATTCATTGTAGGACTACGTCACATCCTGATGTACGTCCATAATTGCTCCATTCCACATAAAGGTCATAGTAGATACAAGGCTATGCAGAAATTACATAAGTGCAAGTTTGTAGAAGGTGGTCCTGTGGCGCAACGGATAACGCGTCTGACTACGGATCAGAAGATTCCAGGTTCGAATCCTGGCAGGATCGGTGAAATAATTTTTTTTTCTCTTTTACTTCACTCATTTTCATCTCTCTCTCGTCATACACAATGGTCGACGGATCGATAAGTCCTGCTTCGTGCAGCTGCAGCACAGCTGCACTCCCCAAGTTGCGCTGTCGTAAAAGCATCTAGAGGAACAAAGGCAAGCACCCGCTGTATATATATATGTATATACTGATGCTGTCACATTGACGCTTACTCATATTTCGCCATAGTAAAGAAAAAAATTGTAGTATTGCTTTTTGAATCCACTGAAATCCTCTTGGCATCGTTGGGGTTTTCAAGATATCTGTACATAAATTATATTATACAATATATGGTCACATGGACGGCTCTAGCAATATCCAGGACCTCGTATTACAACAGATACCTAAGACTAATTGGTGGCGAGCGCAGCTCGCGGGTTAAATAAATTAACCCACGGTAGCGTCTATGCTCCCGGCGTCTTTCTCCCTACCACTGAAGTCCGCGTGGCTACCGAACGTTGAAAATGAAATGTACAACGCTCTATTTTTACAGCCGTCACGTTTCCCAAGTATATATAGATATATATATCTCAGACACTACCACCAATGGCGAATCCCCAATGCCGTCACGTGAGCTGCAGTAAGAGCCTGTCCTTGATCCAGGGTCAAAACCATCATACACCCAGAAGAGGTTCCCAATGTATAGTGTATAATCTTAACGTCTCCACGGCATGGATGGAAAATCTGACTTTTGGTTATATTATATGACTCTGTTGGCAAGATAACTTTATTAAGAACCACCATAGGAATTTCAATGAAGCTACTAAAACGCTCAGGGCGATTGTCACCTGCAGCCTGTAACGTACCGGCGACAGTGCCAACGTGGCGATTCTTCTACGGATTGTCGGTGGGAGGCCGGAATATGTTCTATACATGTGAGTTAGTTCGTTGTGTACGCATATATATACATTTATATATATGTTTGTTCACATATAGCTATATAAATGACTGTAAGTCCCTACTGGCGTAAAGTTAGCAGCGACGGCGACGAAAGGGGCCTTCTTGGGCCGGTTTTTCTGGTTTAACTCCAGTCACGCAGCCTCTCTTTGGGGCCCCTAGGTATTCCAGGGTGCGATTTCTACAGATGTTGGTTCTCATCACGTGCATACTCTTCCTACTCCTCTTCGAGGGTTCTCATTGACTCTTTTCTTGGTTAGACTGACTGGCTATAACCGGCCACTTGGGCTTCATGTAAACCGGATTATTATAATGAACAGCAGAGTGCACAGAAGCTGCTCTCAACTTTCTTCGGTACAACTGGATTTCTCTTCATGCTTTATCTTAATATACCTATTATGGTTAATGACTATATTTGGATTCAATCTAGCCTCAATTTTTGCTGCTATATATTAAATTATATCTACACCAAAATATCATGTAAGCGACTGTGACATAAAGCGCTTTATGAATGAACGTTTTCATTTATATATAAAATTCTCTTTAAGATTATGTAATATTTGGCAAGGATATTAAAGTGGAGGGATTTCCTTTATTGCGTTTCATGCTGATTATGGAAAGAACTGGTAATACCTAGTAAATGTAACATTTGGTAAGAACTCATTCAAGGAAGCGTACGTGACAATGTGCAGGCGTTAATTTTTCAGACATTTATCCTTGTTCCTTGTGCTTTAACGTTACTTTCTTAAATCATAAATCATAACTTTTCTTCTTACTACGGGCCTAAGGTAAATAGCCTTTACTCGGGTCCCAAGTTAAGTCTGTTTGATCAGGAAACCCTGGAGGCGATTTAGGTACCTTTAAGGAATTTCCTGGGGTGTTCAGAAGAATCAGGAACCCTGAGTCCTCTCGTCCTATCGCTTTCTTTCTGCCTTTAGTATAGAATACATTATACCAAAAATCGACAGGACCCTCTTCATCGTTAAGTATATGTGAATTTATGAAGCCGAACATTGTCGAACACTTCCGATTCCCAGAGACTTTTTTACTATACCATCCTCAGGACTTCTTTTCACACTCTTCTTATAAGAAACCTGTTGATAATCAAGCTTATAATTTATGTGATCTCACCAGGGACGTTTCCTTTTTTCTAATTCACTGTGTTCTTCCTCTCACCCACAGAAAAAGTAATAAAGAAGTACAATTTTATTTCTTCTCCGCATAAGAGGCAGAAGGCATAGTTTTCCATTACAATTTTATAGTTTTATCTAATGATGATACGTTAATCGTTTCATAATATCTGGTAAAAATAACTGATATGCAATTACAATATACATATATACATGCCTGCACAACCAAGTAAAGCAGATACCACATTTTATTGTATTGTAAACGTGTCGTACTGTTTTATCTTATTCAACCACTTTTACGTCTCTACCCTTGAGCCAGAAAAGCGTAAACAGTTTTAGAACGGTACTAGATCCAAGTAATTATCACATAGCAGCGTTGTTGCAACTAATGCTTCATTTGTACGACGTCATCGTCAGACTTGACCTTTTCCATCGACATTCAAGTAAAATCCAGTACGCTGTTCATTGTTAAACAATTTATAGCGCATGGACGACGTTAAATATAATAAATACTTAACTTAAAACTACTGAGTTTACTAATAAACTTAGTATTAAACGATGGAAACATTTGACAATTGAAGTTCCGTATTTAACCCATATTACCTTGAAAAAAATATTTTCTCGTATTACGAAAATTAGCAGCTACTTAAACAACATAGTGGAAAAAGTGCACATGTACATAGAGTTGTTTGTCATATTTTTGCGACGACGTTATGTTGATTTTTCTAATAGCGCGTTTTTAACTAAAAGTGCTCTTAGATGAAAATAACAGTATAGCATTTTTTAATAGCAATCTAATCGCCTCTAATGAAAAAGTGTTTAAGTGATTATAAAAGAGGTAAGGGGTAAGGTAACCTTAGTGTCTACTTTATATAACTATAGTTGAACAGTATACATATATTATAAAAGCAGAACGGTTAAGATCATCAGAGTGCAGTTCATCGATCTGATTCAGAAACCACAATCGGTGCGAGTCACATGTACTACATAACGATCAGAAGAGAAAGTTAACATCAGGTTGTAGAACAAGATGTCGATAACTGTGAGTCTTTATTACGTTAATGATATAATAATGTATTTTAGATGTGTTCATAGAATTTATAAGAGTTATGTATCACATTTTCAGGAACATGAAAAATTGTATAGTCCTAGTCAATGGAGTCGTAGATTTGACTCTTTAGGAGTACAGGCTGAATATTCTAAGAATGCACGTAACAGTATGTTATTATAATTATACCCTTCATCTTGTTGATAATATTTTATTCGTAGTTATTAATACAATATTATCTTCTAGTGACTGAACTGGCACGCTCTGCTACCAGTTGTGAGATTGACATATCTTATGGTCCTTCCGAACGAAATAAATATGATATCTATGGTACTGACTTGCCAAAAGGTATTATTTTCTTGTAATATCTTAGAACTGATAAGGATAGTAGATTGATGTTATTGATATTTTAGATGCTCCTGTGCTATTGTTCTTCCATGGTGGTTATTGGCAGGAAGGTTCTAAAGATGTTTCTGGTTTTCCAGCAAAAACTTTCGTGTCTCAGGGTATTAAGGTCATTCTTGGTGGATACGATTTATGTCCTACTGGTAACGATAGATTGAAACAATAAACATAGTTCCATGACACTTGAATGATTATTTGTTCTATATCAATGTATTAATCTGATTATAGTCACGGTAGCAGAAATTTTATCACAAGTTAAATCCTTGACTGAAAAGATACTGAAGTTTGCGCTTGAATGGGGATCTAAGTAGGAATACTGTATATACATATATGTATAATAGAATTTTGTAAAAAAAAAACTATATTTTGTTAGGTCAGTCTGGGTCGGGGGACATAGCGCTGGAGCTCACTTGGTAGCTAGTTTACTTCACGATCCAGAATGGATGACATTGATAGCGCAAAAGGGATACTTACCATTGTTAAAGGGTATATTGTTAATTTCTGGTATTTACAATGTCGAACCACTATTGACAACAAGTTATAATAATGCCTTAAAACTCACTGGGTAAGTACAACTAGTATTCCTATCCTACATGTATCAGTACAGATCATACAATTTTTTGTCTCAGAAATGAAGCAAAGGTTCTCAGTTTTGGTACAAGTAATACAAAGGTTCCCATTTTGAATATTAAAGTTATTGTCACAGTTGGAGAATGTGATTCTCCAGCATTTGTACAAGAATCTTGTAATTACGCTCAGGTATGTTTTATCATGACATGACAGACATAGCCATTTTTAGACTTCTTAGATAAATTGAATGTTATTAATTTTCTTTTTCACTTTTTTCACTTCTCTAGAAACTGGTGGAATTTGTGGATAATGTCGAATACCTTCTTGTGAGAAACAGCGTAGATCATTATGATATAATGGAGAAACTTGTGGACAATAATTTCATTTTAAACAAATTGCTTATCAAGAATATTCAATAACAGGCACTTCAAACGTTCGATTGTTAACTTCCGACTGTTCCCCTGTCTTTAGGGAAGCACAGAATGGAAATTACGTGTTCGACACTTTAAAACTCTATTTAGTATAATAATTTCCCTAATATACTGGAAACTTTCCTATGTATATGCAAAAATATTACTAATTATTAAAGTACTAAAACTATTACTAGAAAATCATTTATTGACAAGACAAATACAACATTAAGTCTTCCTTCTGCAAAGATATGTAGCATACTCCACCATTTACAACAATATTACTATACAATATACTACATGTATAGACGTTTGTGACACTTATTTACTGATTTATTAACTCACTTGACTTTTTATTAAATTGTATAGGAATCGTCGGTCAATAGTTAATTGTTCTTTATGTATTTAATTAGTTTTTATTTCTTTATTCATAAATCTACTTAATGTTTTGTTGATCCGTATAACAATATTTGTTCGTCGACACTTAATTGTTATCCAATTTGTCCATGTGAAATGTTTGAAACATTTGACATTATGTACCTGACAATTTTAATTTAAATGATTGAACTGAATGTGAATAAATGAAATTAGTATTACAAGAAAATACTTATTTGTTTTTACATTGGCTTAATATGTATCAAGAAGTAATATGTTTTATTATATCTTAATAAAAGATGGAACAATTATAAGAAATTTCTTTTTTGTCTATAATCTCTCTGACTAATAACAAATTAAAAATAATTAAATATGCATTATTTATGTTTATTTATGAAGAAATAATATTTGTTCTCATTTATGACTAATTTTTAAAATCCCAATTTAATCATAACATTTTCTTGACAATTTGATTGTCGTAGATTGTTTATTTGTATCTCATTTTTGAATCACAGAAAAAGTTGCCGATCAAATGTGGGATATTTTGATCTCTTCTATAATTTTTTTTAACACTAATATAAAATGTGCCAATCGTGTTTAGAGATATTATGTTTTCAATCAGAAGATTGAGAACGTAAGCAGTACATCCATAACATTATATCTCCGATAAACGCCGAGCAAGCATCTTTCATAGCTGAAGCGTTATTTGTGCATACAGCCAGCACTTCTGAAAGTTCTATGGCTTCGATGACTTCCTTCATCTATCAGCAATGATGGGGCTGTTTTCTAAATCAGTGCCTCTTGGTATGGATTTAAAAACTACTAGCTCTGAAGTAGTGATAATAAAATTCATTATCCCTTCATTACTGATATTCGTCCAATTGACGCATGAAAGTTCAAGAGAATTAGCATTTACAATTTTAAAATTCACATCACATCTTCATAAGTGTCATAAATAAATTTGCTAAAAACTTGATGTCTTGAAGGCAGTGGGAAAGCTGGACGCATGGAAGAAAAAAGTTCCTTCCAGTGTATTTAGCTTAGCATGTGTTTAGGGGAGTCCCAGAAGCGTAAATAGCTCTGATAAGAAATTTTCGAAAGTTTAATATCTCCGTTGCAGACATCGTATCACAGAGCTTCATTATCGAGTTACCTGACTGATATTTCCTTTGGTGTTACTTGCAAGAGGATGGTCCAGTTTCTGAACCAGTATACTGTCTTCTACAAATATTTCATTATCTGCACTGTACTCTGCTGATCTGTATTATCGGCATGATTTTGATGGCAGCAATTTTTCTTCATCACTGCTATCATTGAACACTTCTTGATGCCTTCTCTTCTTTTGTGAGTGTTTCAGCTTAGGATGAAGTTTGTTTTTAACAATTTCAGGACAACCGTGGCAAAACTTTTCCAAGTGTTGACCCATTCGTCAAGGATGATATGCATGTTTTTTTTTAGTGCAATGATTACACTTATACCTAGCCATTTTATTTCCTGAATGGGAATTCTTCAAAGTGAAATTGAAGTTTACCATTTTCTTGAGACGCATCCTTACGCCTATGTATAATCGTTCTGAAATGTAAAGGTACAACGTGTTCATCTACGTTTCAACTGGATAATTTGCCAAAACCACAAGTATGGTACCGTTTCGATATTAATTATAGATTAGGTGAGTTAGGTGAATAGACACGAACCATGGCCAAACAATCATCAGACTCCAGATACATTTACATTTTTATTTAATAATTCAATAATAATACATACAGTTAACTTCGTACCATTGTTTTTATTAGTTCTGTAATCGTAACGGAACAGTCATATGATGCAAAAATGAGGTTCGCATCACTGAGCAGGACTCGTTTTTTTCGACTGATCTATTGTCAGTTTCTGACTTCCACCAGGAGTCTCATTGTTGATAGTCACGAGCGGTACTGTGCTCGCACTCGGTTTCTTAGGCATCTGTTCCGTGCTGTAATTCCAGGAACATGGTGGTTTCGCAAAAGATCTCACCCGTAACAAAGGCTTCTCTTCCTCTTGGATAGGAAGGTTGTTACTCTCTGTTAAATCCACCATGCAAGCTACAAAACATACATATAGGCACACGCAAATACAGTAAGCATTTTTGTTTCTTCACCGGTAACCACATACACAACTTTCTCAACTCACCAACCTTCAACATTCGTCGCTTTTACTTCGTTCAACTCTTCTACTACTTCCCGTTGATTATTATCTTCCTTCTCGTGCGATTCATTAGTTTCCGGTTTGCTTGCAGCTGCTATGCTATCCTCTTCCTCTAACGCATCATTATGACTTTCTTTTATTAAATTTTGTTTATTAATCTTGTTGGTTTGCATTGTTTTATCCTTGTCAAATGTATCATCCTGGTCGTCCTCCGTTACGGTATCAGGACTGCCATCTTTATCAGTATCATTATCAGTATCATTATTATCTTGTAATTTATTGTTCTCTTTTTCGTTGTCGTCCTCTTCTTCGTCATCATCCTCACTCTCGTTATCTTCATTATCTTCGTCAATTAAATTAGAATCCTCAGATTGTTCACTCTCATCTGCGTTTTTATCTAGGCCTTTTTCTTTCCGATGAAGATCTGCTTTTTCTTGAATTTCTGCAAAATGGTTGATCACTTCTGCTAATTTCTTCTCAGCAGAACGTTGGTTCATTTGCAACTTTTCAGAGAGCTCCTCGTTTGTAACAGCCGGATCCTCGTCTTGGTTCTCCAGGTGGAGAGAAAATGTATCCCAGAAGTCGTTCTGCCGCACACGCTGCAAGTATATTCCGATATCGGTGAATGCCTTCTTTGCTGTAAGACATAAAGGAAATAGAAATAAAACAATGAAATACAGACTACATACATTTTGTGTACTGTGAATATATAACGATAAATAAATTATTAGGTATTATAGAATTATTATTATTATTTACTCACCAATTTTCTGTTTTTCTTCATTGCTCATGCCTAACTTCTTATCCTCATTACACTTTTCAACACACTGAAAGATATCCTTGTAATTTGGGAATATAAGGGCATTTGTCAATGCTGTGTGCCTGGTACGTTTTTTACAATTTTTCGTAATTTTTGAAATTTTTGAATTCACAAAACTTGTTATTGCCTGGTCCAGGGACGTAATATTCGTTACAGATAGATATTTTGGACGGAGATAGGCACGACCTGCGTCCACATTATCACCAGTTAGTGAACAATATTTGGCATAGAGTTCCACCATTCTCTCTTTATACCTCTGTAGTTTCATGTAATGGCTATCCGATTCATTGTCGAAATCCACTTCCGTTTGTTCCAACGCTTTTATTCGCTTATTACAAATTGCCATTTTGTGCTCGATTTTTCGGATTCTTCCTTCTTGATTACACTCCTCATCTTCATCCGCTTGGGTTACGTCGCCTACTTTCATTGGTTTATTATTTATAGATGTCTTTGAGCTATTTTGATTGGTCCCATCACATAAGGTGCTTTTCTTACGCCTATGAATAATTGTATTCCTTACTTCGAGAAGATTCCTGAACATACCCTCTTGACTTTTTGAAATACTATTTTTAGTTTCAGTCAAAAGTGCAATGAAATCCTCCGAGTTGGCATAATCTGGATCTAACCGATCATAGTGTTTTTGTAGGTTTTTTATTATCTTCTTCATGTCGGAAGATGAATCGTTTTGCAAACACTGATGAACAAGCATTGCAAATGCATCACCTTTCACTGCAGACACATTCACGCATGGTATTCTCTTTTTGACAATTAATTGTGGTTTTACTAAACCATTACATGAGTTTTCTGTACTATTGTTTGTCTTTTCTTTGTCTGATTTAACTGTGTTTATAGACTTATCATTATTTTGCAACTTCAACTTTTCCAAGCTGCAGGTGTCTGTTATATCTTTGACCACATCATTAGTATTTTTGACATCATCAGTGCTGGTGGATAGTTTAATTCTCTTTCCAGGTCGTTTGTTCTTTGTTGCTGAGATATCAATCCGATCAGATGCCTTCCGTTTCTGGGAATCTGAACAGACCTCCTCATCATCATCTAAAAGTATTTCTTCTTTGACAGATTCAGATGACACCTTAGTATTCTGAAACATTTCCAAGGGAATCTGGGCTCACAAGTGAATTTTAAGAAATATGAAACCAGTAATGCTTGTTAATAGTTATTAGTGTTGTTCAAAGGCATTATAATAAACAGGGAATTATTTATTAAATAAATGCATTATATCCATTACTGTATTAGCACAATGAGAAATATAATTGCTATTAAACATTTGTCAAATAAAAAGAGTAGAGTAATACCTTATAAACAAGTTCTTCATCTTCGTCTGATGATATGGTCACAATCGATTGATCCATCTCGTTTATAATACAGCCACCTATCCTTGTTGGTTTAAAGCGCTATATAAACCAAATTTATAAATAATAACAGTAATTATGTTTGACAATATTGCAAGAAAACTTAGGCTAGATTCTCCTACAAACGTCAGCGCTCAGACGCAGGATTTTGGATGGTGGATACCAGGTGATGGGAAAAAAAAACTTGGTATTTTTCTACCAACCAAAATCCTACAGCCGAGCGGTGACACTTGTATGAGGATCCAAGATTATGATGATAAGGTTCAATGAACTAGAAATTCAAGCAATATTACGATAGAAAATATATTGAAACTATGAAAATTACATTCTACATAATATCTACAGGAAGAACAATTTCAAGTAAACACCAGTATATACATTACTTTGGCCATAGCAGTACATTTAACTCTAAGTGTAACTTCTTACTGCTTCTTACACAAGATGTATTTTCTGAACATTATAGTACAAAGACGCTTAAAATAATCAATTCCAATGATGCAGTCAACATACCAACAGGAATTCGAGGATACGATGAGCAATATATAATTATATATATTTGTAAAAAATTGTTCCTTGCTAAACTAACAGTGGACTGCTCTGAACGCATTTATTTGCATTGATTTGTACCTATACGACACGTCCGGAATAATTACTAAGTTGAGAAATTCGCCATCTTACTGCATGTACGTGCATAATCTTATCACACGACACAGTGGAGGCGCTACTGCAGTAAGACTACACCGTGCCCATTTTACTGTTGTGCTCATGATACAAATAGACGAAGTATAGCCACTGACAATCGTATTTTGGTCAAGATCGCGCAGGGACCAATGACATCACGTTCAAAGCAATATCAGTTTAGTTTAAGGGGACTTATTTACGTTTAGGTTCCTCAGAAGATGACCCCTCAAAATGGAACTAACGTTGCAGTGTGACGACAAACGAACGTAAGATCAGCCAATCAGAACAAAGAGGTTCCAGTGATCAGCCAATCAGTACAAAGAGGGTCCAGTGACGTCCTGTCCGCATGCGCAGAACCGCTAACGGCAATACCTTTGTATCATAGTCGTGCTGTTGTCTTTACTGGAGAAACCCGTTGCTCGATAAACTCGCCATCGTTCTTGCACGTGTTTTGTACAGTGTTTGTAATCGACTTTACAATGGCAGAAATAGGTAAATATTAACTAATTCCAAAGGTCAGGATTATACTTTGTGTTTAGATACAATTTCTGAATACCAATAGGTATTCGCAGTTTGTATTTTATCTCAGGAAAAAAGCTTTTAAGATTTGAGCCGCATGGACTCCAATTAGAGTAAACACGTGCTGCCGAAAAATTCTTGAACAAGTTTCTGATAGAAATACTATAGAATAATAATCATTTATAGTGTTACGGTTGTCACCGTTTATGTTGCTTTTGTTCTAGCATAGATTTGCGTCTATGTCTTGCTTAAATCAAAGTTATATGTAACAGGTTAGAATGGAAAATGTTATGTTCGCAGAGAAAGCAAAGAAGAAAAATAAAAAGAAATCCCTTGGGGAAATTCAAGTCGCTATGAAGTGCCATGTAGAACCATCTGATGAAATTGTCAAACTGGATTGTAAGGATTGGCCACTGTTGTTTAAGGTACTGCATTTATGAATGAACCATTTTTTTTAAGTATAACGACAAAGTGCTAAGTAAATTATTTTTCTTTTAGAATTTTGACAAAATGCTCACACGTACAAAACACTTTACTCCACTCACAAGTGGGACAACACCACTGCATCGTTCTATATCGGAATATGTAAAATCGGGTTGCATAAATTTGGACAAGCCATCGAATCCCTCAAGTCATGAAGTCGTTGCCTGGATAAAAAGGATCCTGAAGGTCGAAAAAACTGGGCACTCTGGCACGTTAGATCCCAAGGTGTCAGGCTGCCTAATAGTCTGCATAGACAGAGCAACCAGATTGGCAAAATCTCAGCAATCTGCTGGCAAAGAGTATATAGCGGTATTCAAACTTCATTCTGCAGTAGATAATCTGCAAAAGGTAAGCCAGGAACGTTAGGAGAAATCTGATATATAAATAACATATCATTGTGTTATATTAATTCTTCAGATAAATCAAGCCTTGGAGAGATTACGAGGTGCTCTGTTTCAAAGACCACCCTTAATATCAGCAGTAAAACGACAATTGCGTGTCAGGACAGTATACGACAGTCACTTCTTGGATTACGACTCGGAACGCAATATGGGAATTTTCCATGTTAAATGCGAAGCTGGCTCTTACGTTAGGACGATATGCGTTCACCTTGGTCTCTTCTTAGGCACAGGATGTCAGATGCAAGAGCTGCGCAGAAACCGTTCTGGTATTCAGTCCGAGAAGGACGGAATGGTAACCATGCACGATATTCTAGATGCTCAATGGTTATATGAAAATCATGGGGATGAATCCTACCTTCGAAGAGTGATCAAACCCTTGGAAGCCCTTTTGGTTGGACACAAAAGAATCATAGTAAAAGATAGTGCCGTATGTATTATCATAATCAATCCATTTCCAGTATTTATCTAGTGGTGCTGATTTATTGAATCAATGTATTGCCACAGGTCAATGCAATTTGTTATGGAGCCAAGATAATGGTACCAGGTATTTTAATGTATGATGATGGAATCGAATTGAACCAGGAGATTGTAATTGTAACTAGCAAAGGAGAGGCTATTGCACTAGGTAACTAATTCAGCCATTAACCATCAATACAAATTTAATGTCCTAAGAACCATTGCTATTATCATTAATTACTTATCTATTAATTATTAATATCAATAATCTTATTTTTTTTAGCTACTGCAATGATGACTTCACCTACCCTTACGGCGTGCGATCATGGCGTGGCTGCCAAAATCAAGCGTGTCATAATGGAACGAGATGCATATCCTAGAAAATGGGGCCTTGGACCGAAAGCATCGATTAAGAAACGTTTGATAGTCGAAGGAAAATTAGATAAACATGGAAAACCAAATGAAAATACACCAGCTGATTGGCTCTCAAGTTACGTAGACTATTCTGACGTCAAGGTATCAATTTCATCCTACTGTATTATTATACTCCTTCTCTAGTACAGTTTGTAATTCGATTATTATTATTTTTAGACCGAAGAAAATGGAGTGACTGATAATGGCACTAAGAAACGTAAATGGGAGGAAACGCAAAACACGAGTGGAACAGCCGACGTGTCAATGACCTCAATCACCGAAGTAGTAGTGGCAGTAAAAGATGAAGTAAAGACAGAAGTAGATACGCCATCGTCCAAGGAGAAGAAAAAGGAAAAAAAAGAGAAAAAGAAGAGGGAAAAGCAGGAAGCTGAGAACAGTGAGGCTGCAGCACCTACAGGAGAATCAGCAGTCAGTATTATTTTTTAATGGAAATAAAATAAAAATCTTCTAAATAATTTAAACCTTCTTTAGGAGTCACCAGCAAAAGAACAGAAGAAGAAGAAGAAGAAGAAGAACAAGGAAGAAGAATCGTCAACGGCTTAAGACCATTTTCCAAATGAAAGAATATACCGGCTAGACATCTGTGTTACTTTTAAGTTGGTTATAAAGTGGTTTTTTAAACAATAAGACTCTTTCATGGAACTAACGCCAAAGCCGGGGTTTAAGAGAGAAGAGACAAATAGAAAAAGCAAACAGTATTGCGCTTTACCACCAAGTCTCTTTGTACAAGTTCGTATGATTCCATTTAATCATGCATTTCTTATTGTATCTGAGTAACGGTAGAATATCAGTATGATTGCAAATATTTGTACAACTAGAACGTGTATAGATATTGCACTGATACGTGGGTATAAGAAACATGGTAAGAAATGATTGATTAATAATCGATCACTCATTATCGTGTAGTGTACATAAATCTATATGAGCCGTGTTGGTCCGTGAATTTACCTGAGCACAAGAACTGCTACGGGGCAACCGGGTGCATTTAAATTGTTATAAAAACATATTTACTATCTTGCCCCAAGACTCTAATTTCCGCATATATACCTCGATCCTTACAGATCACATATCTAGTAATCCATGAGGAAATACAGTGAAATATTCCACAGTGCTCGCATTCTCGTAACCTTACGTGCATCCCAGTCATATGAGATACGTCGACAATAACGTCGATGCTATTTTACTACTTGATTTTATAGAGATATTCATAAGACGCACATACTGTAGTACAGTAGTGGAACAAGTAGTTCGGTACGGTCAAATGTGTATGATGTACAAGTGGCGAATGCATTAGGATTTTAAAGATAATTTACTATTTTCAATAAAAAGTTAAAAAACGGCCATTACAACTTGTTTCTTATTTAATCGATTTATCTTAAGATTTTGGTGGATCAGGGATTAACTAGAAGGGCCTGATGTGTTATTTTATAAAGACGTGTATTTTTCGTAAATGTCATATTCCAAATGGTGGATTGAGATACGGTTATTTGAAGACAACGGTGTCGAGCATGGCTCCCAAACACTGGACGATATTTGTGGACATAAGGGTGTCTACTTTCTCCTCAAGATGCCGTTTTGGGTCTTGTTTACCTACGTTCTTTATTGCTAGCTGTTCAGGTGTCATTTTTTCTTCATCCTCAAGTGCCTATAATATTAAAAAAAGATGGATATGCAAAACTATGAGTGAATTTTTAAATTATAAAAATGCTCACCTTGTTGTAGTTCTTGGCTAATTCAAGCATGTCAGAAACAATACTTTCATTCAGTCTACTGTGTTCCGAATATTCAGCAAGAGTGAGACCATCCATCCAGGTCTTTTTATGCAAATTAAGTAGCATCTTCTGCTCCAGTTCGTTCTTACGATAGTTAATACTTATGCTATAGTAGTGACGATTAAGACCATGGATCAGAGCTTGAACAGAGGGTTTATGCAGGTGCCCTAAGTTTGATGTGGTTTGTCTAGGCTCTTGACCTAGAACCTGCCATAAAACAATGATATTATGTATATGGTATTTGACTGTAGAAGAATTTTAACTTTGAGAAAAGCTTACCATCATATTGGGATTGATTAATCTAAATGCATCGATAACCACTTTGCCCTTAACTGATTGAATTGGGTCAATGACAACAGCAACAGCCCTTTCACTAAGAGCTTCGAAGGATTGTTGAGTATTGATATCCACACCAGACAACCAACAACCAAAGCCTGGATGGGAATGGTACCAACCCACAACCATTTCTGGTCGACCAGTTTGCTTTAACATATCCAACATCTTTGCCTGAAATACTGGATCCACTGCTTCTACACTGACACCCTGTATGATATATTAGGCATATTAATAAGGAAACAACTACTTTAAAGAAGACAGATAGATAAAATAGATCTTACAGTTCCAGTTTGAGGCATCGCAAATACATCAATAACACGCACTGTGTAATCATCTACAAATTCACCCAGCATCAGTCCCATAACTTCCATCGGAACACCAGCTCTTCCATGTTTAAGCATTTTCAGAAGGGCCAACGAGGATATATAAACCTAATAAAGAATAATAATTAGGTACCATAAAAATGTACAATATTATGCTACAAGTATATCAAAGAAACTATTACTTGTTCAGCAGTATCAACGGCGGGTGTATCGGATAGCGGAGGCGCTTGATTAAGTCCGGGCATACCGCCTCCTAATCTTAATAGTCTGTCCATTTTAGTTTACGATCAAGATCAAATTTTTCTGAAAAAATATCGTACAATATAAAAAATACACTACAGGCTTATTAAGGTTGAGACTCCAAATGACGCTTAAGGTTAAAATGTCCAGTGACGGGACACTTTCTATTAGACCGGAAGAAAGTGTTCTGTCTCTGAAGTTATTGCTTACCTAATTAATAAATAGAAGCCCGTAGGTGCACTGTGATTATTATCACTTAATGATCTTAGCGAGAGTAAACGAAAGAAACATTCCTCTCAGGAAGGCAATGACAATCTCAAACATGCAAACTCACGAGCGCGGGGTATCACGGGTAATCAAAATGGCACGTTGTTGAACAAGAAGAATGGCCGAAAATCAGCAGAATACGCGATATGGAGTTCTTTCCCCAAAGTTCGGTGGTGGACCTCATGGGATCGGTAAATATTTCTTATATGACAAGCAGAATGCCTTATTATAATTCATATTTAAAATTTTTTAATGCTTTAATACAGCAATACATATATTTCGTGATTCAGTTATGAATAGGTTAATATTCACAACTACCGGATGTTTATTTTGTGGCGCTAACTTTTTGATATTATGAATATCTACAGGGGATCCCAATGACAAGTTTCTCAGGAAAGTGGAAATGGAAGTTCTGATTCCTAAAAAAATGAGAGACAGAGCCAGAGAGGAAAAATGCGTCGAAGAAGTCAAAAGTAAAGTCTGCGTTTGATACACTTCTTGTTATTTATTATGTATAGTCTTGATCAATTTCTTTTTTTTTTTTTTACAGATTTCACAGAATGCTGTAAGGAGAGTAGTGTTTTCATGGTATTTAAATGTAGAAAAGAGAACACTGCTCTTAAAGGATGTCTCGAGCGGTGGTACACTGATGAAAACTTCAAGGAGGAATGTAAAGAACAATATTTACAAGAGAGAAGCGAATACAGAAGAACTGGAATACCACAAAAGAAAAGGAAATCTACACGATATCAATCATCTCATTAGTAAGCAAATTTTAATTGTTCCTTTTCATTAGCATTTCATAAAGGATAAAATAAACGCTCATTTACTTTTGTGCATAGACTTCAGCAACAGTGCATTTCTTTATAATTTCAACCAGTATATATAGTTGTGAGTTTATTGGTAAACAAGAATCTTATATCCATTGTAATGTACATATGTATTAGAAAGACGAAAAATGATATCAATAAACAGGTGTTGAAATGTATATTATTATTAATCATATAAATTACAAAGTGCAGGGATCTTTGTTATGCAGGAAAATGATTATTCAACATCCTTTGTGTAACATCACTCATAATGAATCCTCATCTTCCTCCTCCAACAAAATCATATCACTCTTCTGTTTTGAAATCCATCTTCTCCAAAGTACTTCTCGTACAGTAAATTCTGACAACATTTCTGGTGTTGTCAAACTAGAGTCTTTTGGAATGGTAGATGGCCATAGAACTTGCGCAAATAAGATTTCCTACATAAAAATATAAATATTTGAAATTCAATGTGAAATTTAAGAGATATATTTCAGCGCTTAAAACGTATCTTTCTGATTTCTTTATTGTGATTTACCTTTGCTGCTGTCTCTGATAATCTATGTAATCCAAACAAATTATTCCATGTCATGCTGCGCATTGTTTTTTTCTCGTTTCTGATTAATGTATCTGCATCTAACACTTCAAGTATTACAATATAGGAGGCATGATAGAACGGTGGCCCTTGCTTGTACAGCACTGTAACATTAAATATATCAGAAAAAGAATAATTGGAGCAGAAAAGAGTCAATTGCATTTGGTTGAAAATACTTACAGAAGTCCCCACCATACTTTAAGCCTGATTTTACTACCCAGCCTTTGCTCCTGAAGTAATGATAGACAACGTATTTCTGGACAAAATCAGTTTGTTCTTTGCAAAAATAATTCCAAGCATTTTTGATACTTAGGAAGTTACCCTCAAAATCAATTACTTGTAGACAACCAAGACCAAACATTAAGAAAAAAGTTTCTTGAAATGTTAAGTGTAATGTCTCACGTACAGGAAAGCCCTCGTTCTGTATTCTTGGCTTTACATTACTTAAGTAATCTTCTACATCTGAATCACTGTCTGGTAGAACTAATACACTCTCACTTATGTCAGATTCGTTTTTGATTGGATGAAGAACCTCATGGTCAATGCTGAAGCAATCGTTTTCTCCAGAAACAATGTCCAGATCCTTAGACACAATTTCACAGACATCTTCTTCTTCTGTAGAATCCAGCACTACTTCATCTATATTAGTATCTGAGATTATTACAAGATTTTCAGATAAATGCTCATCAGGGTTTGCATAATTTCTATTAGAGTTATTTGAGATTTTGTCTCTTTTAATCTCAGTAATTTCAATAATGTCGCTTACAGATTTATCTTCTTCTACAGATCCTTCAATATAAATATCAAGACTTTCCTTATTTATATCATTATTTTTGTCTGATGCTTTTCCAGCTTCATTTTTTTTTGGAATTTTATTTGAGATTTCATACAGATCAGAATCTGATTCAATATTTTCATTGTCCCAATTACCTCTTCCTTCTTTGAGTAATGATTCTGTGTCAAATTTCTTTACTTCCTTCAGCCATTTTTGCCTGCGACACCATTGTCTATTTCTAACAATTGGTGGAACCCCATATCGTGTCCTTCCAAATGAAGGGTAACTTTTAGACAAAGATCCTTTTCCAAAAAATCCCTGAAGAAAATAAATAATAATCAGGATACAATATTATCTTTACTTCTGTATAAAAATGTTACCATTGAATGAACAGCTTCCATTTCATCAGGCTGTACGATGTAAGTTCCCATGGAGCTTAAGTACGCAGTATATACAGTCCACTCATTAGGTTTACTCAACGCTATAGGGAATGGGTCAAGCATTTGTTTTCGTACGCGTTTCTTCTTTTTTGGATCTCTTAAATTCATTCTAAAATTTTATATAAAACTATTATACCAAAGTAATACTAATACAAAATTATTATACAAGAATTTATAAGCTTCAGTATTACTTTCTTCTAAAATTATTCACCGCTAAACAACAGTGATCAAACCTATAAATTTATGGCTGCGATTGCAAACATTAATGTTAAATTAAAATAATATTCTGTGAAAATATGTATTTTTACTTATTATTTTTTGTGATTTTATCCTAACAAGACTAAATACAAGAACACTTGTATTCCTTGTTTACCTCTTCCCTTATTGAATAATATTGTTGTATAATAATTAAACTCAAGTCTTGTTTACTCTCAACAACTTTTGTTTACTCTAAAAATTTTTCGTACAGGGAATTTTTTAAATGTTCAGCTATTATTGGTATCATTTGGTGAGCCACTCTCTACGTTGGCAACGGCCAATCGTCGATCTCGTGATTGAGCAGCTGAGCAGTATTAAAAGCGTAGAAGAAACGGAGTAGAGCAGTGCCCTGATTTTCGTTGAAAAGTTGTGAGACGCCTGTTAGGGCGGTAAATTGTTAAAAAAGAAAAGGAGTCAGCAATAAACATTAATTATGGCGGACCGTGCAGCCATAAAAGATATCATTCCGGCCTTGCCGGATGAGAAAATAGGTAATTATATGCACCTGATATACTTGTTACAATATAGAGCCCCTCCCACTATCGCAATTTTGTCACGAGCATTTTTCGCTTTTTATAGGATTGTACTTTACAGACACTTTAAACTTCTATAAGAATCATTCTTACAATTAGTTGATGTGTACTTGACGTATTTGTATTATTGATTGATTATGTCATTTTTCACATTCCAGATATGCTTGCTGCTACTAGTATTCTGCAACAGCAAGCTGCTGATATTAGGAATCAGAGAATTAATTGGCAATCATATCTCCAGTGAGAATTCGCAATCTTCTTTTGATATGATATTGAAGATTTTGTTGGTTTACCTCTTTTATTTTGATATTAGGTCTCAAATGATTTCTAAAGAAGATTATGACTTCATTGTGGCCTTTGATACCAGTGATACTGCTACACGTGAAGCTAAATTGAAAGAAAATCCCAATCAAGCTGCTAAAACCTTCTTAAATTTGTTGGGTCATGTTTCTAAGGACCAGACGATTCAATACATCCTGACCATGATAGATGACATGTTACAGGTATTAAGTTCATTGGATTACCTTTCCTTCTTGAGATTTATAGATTGGCAAAAATAACACTGACTAATTCGCGGATAACATTATATTTTTCGATAAATTTCATATACTGGAATATCTATCTCAAACACACTACCTGAAAAAAGCAAACAGTGAATCACTTTGTATAAAATATAAATTATACATATGGTATATATATAGACATATCAAAATATTTAAATAATAGGAGGACCGTAGCCGCGTTGAAATTTTCCGCGAACATTCCTCTCGTAAACGTGAGTCTGTCTGGGGACCATTCCTGAACCTGCTGAACCGTCAGGATGGTTTTATAATGAACATGACTTCACGTATCATCGCAAAGTTAGCATGTTGGAGTCATGAACTCATGGAAAAAACCGACCTTCAGTTCTATCTGACTTGGCTTAAGGATCAATTGAAACTTCACGTAAGTACCAATGATATTAATGTATGTTGCATGCATGAAAGACAACATATTGAATTATCTTATTTATCAATAGGTATCTCTTTATTTTTCTCCATTTTTTGTTTTCTATACAAGGCACATAAGATAAACTTATTCACGTTGGATTCAATATTAATCCATTCTTATGTTTCAGGATTGTAGTTTTCATACTGTATTCAATTAACATTAGTATTAGTTGTAGTCTAACCGAATAGTCATTATGCTTCCTTTTGCATGCTTCTACAGCTTGTCCTTTGCTTTTGCATAATTGTACCAAGTGCTTTAGCCTATACCTCCTAAAAAATACCAAGACAGTCAAGTTGATAAGCAATCATTAATAATATCCATCAATTAAAAAAAAATAAAGATTTTCGAGTGGACTAATATTCTTAATTTATGCCAACTGGTTGGTTGCACAAGATTCATGTTCCTGAGCATAGTCTCAATGTTCTGAAATATTCTGTTAAAAATACAACGACGGAGCACATCAATGTTGCTTCTATGCGAGGGTGTGGGTTTAGATAAAAGGGAAATGAAAAACTTTTTTTTTCGAGATCATTTAAGTTCAATCCCAGAGGATCAATCGAGTGGGTTTTTAGTTTGAGGCCCTACAAGAGGCAAGCTTGCATGCGGAGGTAGTGCAGGACATCACACCCGACGAGTCCGGGGAGGCCAATGAGCTGCGCGAATTGCTCAACCCGGTTGGTTTTGTAACAACTCATCATAACATCTGTAATCCCTCTTATAAAGTTATCTATTTCACATGTCTTCATTGTATCAAGACTGTCAAACCGGTTTTGGGTTAATTGATTCAAGTTTAAAGTTGAAGAAACTGTGAAAAAGTTTACTGAACCAGTGCCGAACGCTGGTATCATAAAATATGCTATACACTTATTTTCTAGTAGTCACTTAACACTTTTACAAATTGTGCACAATGATATATTAGTACTGTAGATATACAAGAAATATTTATGTAGGAGATAAGTGGCATGTTTATTTTCTATATATTTTTTATTGTTTAATTACTGGAGTGGAGTGTAATGTCCTTTTTACAGGTACATTGATTATCTTCTAAATTATCACTCACAATGCCACGTGCCCAATAGAGAATGTTGAGGAATCTGTGTGAACTACTGGTATTTTATTATTTAAATTTCTGGTACAGAATAACGAGTACATCCAATCAGTAGCGAGATGCCTGCAAATGATGCTGCGCATCGACGAGTACCGTTTTGCTTTTGTATCTGTGGACGGTATCTCTACCCTGCTGAGTGTCCTGTCAGGAAGAGTCAACTTCCAAGTGCAATATCAACTGATCTTCTGTTTATGGGTCCTGACGTTCAATCCTCTGCTCGCTGAGAAGATGAATAAGTACGGATTACCTTGGATCTACTAATCTCTGAATGATATTAGGAATATAGTTTTATTCAAATATTTCTCAGGTTCAACGTTATTCCCATTCTTGCTGATATCCTGAGCGACTCTGTCAAGGAGAAAGTAACCCGCATCATCCTCGCTGTCTTCAGAGTGAGCAATTTTATGAATTATAGCATTTACCATACAATATCCTTGAAACGATCATATTGGAGTGTAACGATGTTCCTGTCCTTGCATTGCAGAATCTGATTGAGAAGGTCGAGGATGGCCAAGTTGCCAAGGAGCACTGCATCGCCATGGTACAGTGCAAAGTAATGAAGCAAATTTCCATACTGGAACAACGCAAACTCGACGATGAGGATATAACCGAGGATATCGAGTTCCTGAACGACAAGCTTCAGGCATCCGTACAGGATTTGAGTTCCTTTGACGAGTATTCAACCGAGGTAAAGTCAGGACGACTTGAATGGACTCCCGTTCACAAATCTGGGAAATTCTGGCGTGAAAATGCTAGTCGTCTTAACGAGAAGAATTACGAACTTCTACGTATCCTGGTCCATCTCCTCGAGACTAGCAAGGATGCTTTGGTCCTGAGTGTCGCCAGTTTCGACATTGGAGAATATGTCAGACACTATCCCCGTGGCAAACAGTATGTTTTACATTAATTTTTCTTTACTTATAACCGTATCATCTCTACAAACTCTTATGTTTTTATAGTATTATTGAACAACTGGGTGGAAAACAACGTGTTATGCAGCTTCTTGGCCACGAGGATCCCAATGTACGATACGAGGCACTTATCGCTGTACAGAAACTAATGGTGCACAACTGGTACGTCACGACAAAATCAAAATTCATATATAGAAACAATAGTATATACTTGTAAAATTCAATTGTCTCATTGTGTCATTTCTAAACAGGGAATATCTTGGCAAGCAGCTAGAGAAGGAGCAGACTAGTGCTCCTGGTGCACCAGGGTCGCAAGTTCCTGCCAAAGCATAGATTACTGATACTAGCACGACCGACGTCTCCACCCTGAGTTACCCTGAAAATGTTTCCTGACTGGTACTCTCCGAAAGCTTATTTATTTATATCGTTTATCTTTGCGCGAGACCCATATTCATAAAAAAAATCGTCAGGCCTTGCCAAATTATTCAATGTAATTCGACGACTACATTCCATTTTATTTCTCAACTATCTTCTCTTCGCGCCATGATACGAGTATATCTACATGAAAGATTTTACGATCAAAGGTAAACGATATAGTATTACAAGATTAATGTGTAAAAAGCACAATGGCTACCCGGAATATTAAAGAAACACAAATTATCAGTCCATACAGATTAGCCGGTCTGTCGTTATCATATACATTTCTAACGTTACAAGCGAATTAAAAAAATTAAATAAAGCAATTCATTCACTTCTGATATTCGATGTTACTTCGAAAAAAAAGTATTAAAACAATTGTTATGTACATACGCGTAAATAATTTAGTTATAAATATACATATATGTATGTGTATGTATATATATATATACACACATCTATTTGGCTAGTGATGTAACGCAAATGGTGATTGTGTCATGTAATTATGCTCCTGTAAGTAGAACATGAAGGATTCGATTGTAAAGCAACATTGAGAAAAAAAGAAATAAAATAGCATAACAGGTTAAATTTCGGCGGATTTATTTTACAATTAATTGTGTGTAACAGGTAAATGAAGACTATAATAAAACAAGATGTCCATTCATGTGTATCTTCTGTACAAGAACTATTTCTTCGTAAAGGTCAGTTTTATGTTTATGTTGCACGAAGTCAGCTGTGTCACCAGGTAACGGAATATGTAAGGGATGTCAATTTCGCCGACAATACCGTCGTCACCACAGAGACGACATCTCATCCTCTTCTCACCCATTCCGGTCTTATTTACTATTAATTCGATTACTGGTCCCAACAACGTTCCACATTTTTGACAGACCAGAGCCTTTAAATTGATAGCGAGCATTAGTTTTTTTACCGAATTGAATACTTGCTTTAAAATTTACATTTCGTACACTCACCGTAGTCTTGTCAGAACAATGGAAAAGTCTGTCCTGTAACAGGAAGGAACAGCCGTGCGATATCAAGGAGTCACGTTCCATCTCTCCAAATCGTACACCACCTCCTCTTCGGCGACCCTTTATCGGTTGTCTAGTCAACACGTCAATAGGTCCTGTACTTCTTACTTGCCACTTGTCTGATACCATATGGCGTAGTCTTTGATAATGAACAACGCCAAAGAATATATCAGCTTTCATTTCACGACCGTCCAAACCTGAGTACATTTTCTCTGTGCCATAGTAATTGTATCCACCCTGTTCAAGTAATTTACCAAAATATTCTACAGCCGTATCTTCTTCAGAAAATCTAAATGGAGTCGCATCGTGGACAAGGCCGTGCAGTGCTGCTGACTTGCCTGCCATTACTTCGATCATCATAGCTGTAAACGGATTTAATGACGTAGTTATTCGACTCGTAAAAAATAACATTTTGTGTCTTTTAATTAGACTTACCAATTGTCATTCGACTAGGGAATCCATGAGGGTTGAACACGATATCCGGTATTAGGCCAGTTTCGGTGAAGGGTAAATCTTCAGCTGGCCATTTTTGGGAACAAATACCTTTCTGACCAGCACGAGATGCGAATTTGTCGCCGACGCTTGGATTACGCTGCAAGTTTTAAGAATTTAATGGAGATTTCAACATATTGCATTATTATTATAGTGTACTTACAGGTATGCGTAATGTTATACAGGCTCTTCTAGGTATATGTTGCTGGAGACTTCCACATAGCCTTATGTTATCAACGTACGCATTTTCCTTTCCACGATATTTTCCTACGACATAATGAGACTGATCCGCGTCATAGTAACTGAAAAATAAATTAATATTTATCATAAAACACATCCTAAACTTCTAAATAGTGCTAAGTACCTGTAATAAGGTTCGCCACTTTGTAAGAGAGATCCAGGGTGAGGTAAACCATCCTCATCCAATTTTTCAGCCAGATGCACTTTTTCAGGATCTCGTGCAAAAAAGCTCTTTTGATTTTTCAAGTCTATGAATTCAGATTTATAAATCATTCCATGCGCAAAGCCTCGCTCATACGCTGATTTATTTATTATCATAGCGTCCTCCATGTCATAACCCTGAGAAATTCTTATGATAATAAATAATTTCATTGAAAGAATAGCTAAACTTATATTACGTACTGTGTATGAAATAACAGCCACTATAGCATTTGTTCCCATTGCAAAATTATCCAAATTTATATTGTCATGATGCACTGGTCTAAATAAAGGTGTAGCAGGTGTTTGCAACCTATATAATTTTGTTTCTGATTGTAGTTGCCAAGTATGACAAGGAGTGCCCATTGTTTGTTTACCCATCTTGAAATAAAACATATATTAAATCTGTATTTTTAATTAATTTATAAAAACATACCTGACACTGGTACATGTTCCGGGGACTCTGATTGCAGTCAGGCATTGGAATAAGACAGGCTAGATTACTGAGGAAACCTATTTTCGATAACTCCTGATGAGTAGTCAACTACATAAAAAAATACAATACCATAATTAGATAGTTGATCAATAATACTATTTTAATTGTAATTAAGCAATGCTTACACCATTGTATGCTTCTTCTGGTGTAACACAAATGTTCATATAAATTTGTTCAAAAGTACCAATATATTCAATTTTTTTAACAGCCAGATTTAATACAGGTCTCATCATACGTGTGGGACCAGTAAATAAAAAAAGCCCAGAATATTGGGAGGTTACATTTTTCTTAGGCACCAAAACTATTTCCATGGTAGAAGGTATCTGCAATATAAATTTTTCTATAAAATAATTAAAAACATATTCTTTTGAAATATGGGTATTAAAAGACTTACAGTTTTCCCACTGATTTTTAGTAGTCGCAGCCTATCAGCCAGTCTGCCTATTATGTTATGTTCAATTTTCCCTACAATCTTTCCATCCAGCATCACAGTATATGCGTTTTCTATTTTTGAAGCAACTCCAAAAGGTAACATTCCCAAATCCAGTAAAACTGTCAGTATATTGGATTTCAATTTTGGATCTGGATGCTTTGTTACAATACAATTCATAGTTAAATGATTGAGAAGACCACAGGGTGCGCCATCGGGTGTATGGACAGGACAGATAAATCCTGAATCCGATTAAATTTTCATATAAGAAACATATAGATGATTTGGAAAATATTTCATTAAATTTAAAAATTACCCCAGGCGTCAGGTAATAATTGTCTAGCTTCTGTAGTCCTCATCTCCTGGAAGAAGGATCCTCTATGAATGGCACGGAAGTGACTCATGTATCTCATTCTGTTAATATTCTCAGCGACGATGGAGAGTCCAGAGGATTGCATTAAACCTAAACCCGTGTTTGACTTTATATTTCCTGTGGCAAGAAAATTTTCCATCTGCGATTCAAATGAGCCACAATGTTTCATTGCGTTTGACATTTCACCTGTTGGTCAATTTTTAATCAGGTTATAGAATTAAAATAATAACAATTTTTATATTTTTGGCACTCCTGGAAGAAATTACTTACCGAATGTTAGATTGTAGTTGATACCCTTGCTTCTGATGCGTTTTATAATGGCCATACGAAGACCAACAAGCCAGGAGTACATTTTTTCTTTAAGTACTTGTAAGTATAAATGACCACCCAAGAGGCACTCCTGCATCATAACTGCATCAGCACCCTCAGCAAGACATTTGTTGTCGGCTAATGCAAATAGTTTTTGTGTCATGAAGATTAGCAGGTTAAATTTATCCTCAGGATCGTCCAGGTGAATGGCTAAACAGTGTCTGGAAATGTAGTTATGATATAGAACTTATTGGTCAAGAAAATATATTTCATTTTAAAGTTACGTACTTAATAATGAAGTCACAAATTTGAGAATCTGTAAACTCCTGTGGTAACTCAAAGAATTTTACTCTGAACATTTTTCCGATATATGCTTTGCACTCTTCATGAGTATGCAGACCTTCTTCATGTACTGCACGCAACATATTTAGGATGCATCCTTTGTAACGAAGATCATCCTCGCATCCGCATATCAACTGACTGAAGATATATTTGTCAGACACATTAATGAGACATTTCAACATAAGAATCAGAGGAATATAGTAGAGCACTTTTCTATGTGAGAACATTAATTTTGCAGAGCCATCCAATACATAGTGCAAAGTATTATTCTGTAGAATTGAAAAAAAAATTAGATCCAGATAAAGCTTGATGTTGATGATTATCCTAAAGTATTAGTTTACCGAGGAAGTATTATCATCCCTAACACTTCTGAGGAGAAGACCTAAATCACTGAATTGAGATCCTCGTTGCTTCCAACTGGATCGTTTGATCGCTATTGGATAGTTTCTCCGAGTCATCAGTAACATTCTGATAAGCCTTTCATGTCCTTTGATAATAAAATATCCACCCCATTCTTCTTCATGTTCACCATGAGCAACTAATTCCTTAGGACTCATTGCAGTCAAATGACATCTATTGGACTGTAAATATCTATTGTCATAAAGCAAATTCATACAATAAAATATTCCAAGAAAAGTGGCTACCTTGATCATAATAGGAACTTCTCCCATTTCTCTATTGATACTTTCTTGCTGTTGTCCATTAATTGACCAGCCAATTTTTGCAATTAGCTTTCCTTTATACGTAGCACCTCTTTGCCGACATTCTGTAGGATATATCTGATAGGTTTTAATTCCAATTGTACCAGTAGGTACACTGGGATTACCAATACTTGCATCTTCTATCCACAATACTACTTTATCATCATTTGGAAGTGTCAAGTATACTGGTACCAATTCCTTTATAGATTCTTTTAAGCCATCCTCCAGCATATAATTGAAAGAATCAACATGTGGACTTCCTAGACTTTCCAAGAGCTAAAATTCCAGATACCAAGCTAGGTTACATGTTCATATTACAGCTACGATATGATACAAATAAATTGTAAATTATTACCAGATTTTGCTTTTCACGAGGAACCCCAAAATCTAGAGTTGCGTTACTCAACCTTGGCTCAGTTAACATTTTTAATGAAATTATTTACACAACTACTGTACGACAGATTCGAAACACGTGCATTTAAACGGAGTATAACACTGTAATAAGGTTTTATATGTATCATCAAACACACTATTGCTAGTTCCTTTTATGATAACCTGGGCTATTATTCTGTTATTATATTTTTTAAATATTCTTATATATTATTAATTAAAGCTTTGATGAAATTTCTTTATTACACATTGTGTTTAATTACATTCAACCGGTCCAAAACTTTACTTTTGAAGCTGCGCCACTGTTGACACGGAAAATAGTGGGGTTAAAATGAGCTGGTCGGTAAAAATGAGCCAATCAACTAAGCGCGATATTCCTCTTTTACAACGCTTTTACACTACGTATATGCCATTATTATGAATGCCATTATACGCTAGATCATAACGGCGTAAACAACAAGGGACCACTTTAGAATCTGTACAGTTGCTGCTCCAAAAAAGGTTTTATAAAAAAAAGGAAGAAAGGCTCTTGATTCGTACATAATGGATATACTTGAATTAAAAGATGTCAAAGCTGTGGCAGATATTATTCACACATATTCTGAAAAAGTAAAAACTGAATCAACACCCTTGGTAATTGATAATGGTATGTCTCTAACCTTTATATATATATATTGATTTCCAACGTTAGGTTTATAATCCTGAATAAGATTTAATTAACAACTATATTCTATCCTATAGGATCCTATAATTGTAGAGTGGGCTGGGCTACTGAAAAGGAACCTCAATTGATATTTAAAAATCTTATAGCAAAGCCAAGAAAGGAGCGTGGCAAGAAAGATGGAGAGTTGCAAGTTGGAAATGATATTGCAAATATTGAAGCAGTACGATTTCAATTGAAAACACAATTTGACAGAAATGTTGTAACGCACTTTGAAGCACAAGAGCAGATATTTGATTACACATTTATGCATATGGGTATTGGTACAGAGGGATCAGTGGATCATCCTATAATCTTAACAGAAGCATTTCTCAATCCTAATTATTCAAGGAATTGTAAGCTTCAGATTCTGAAGACAATTTTAATCATTTATTATATAAAATTAATCAAATTAATTTTCAGTAATGGCAGAACTTCTCTTTGAATGTTATAATATACCTTCAATAGCATATGGTGTAGATTGTCTATTCTCTTATCAACATAATAATTGTGCCTCAGATGGCCTTATTGTTAGCATTGGATATCACACAACTCATATAATACCAGTACTCGATGGCAAAGTGGATCCTGTCAATGCCAGAAGAATTAACGTTGGTGGATACCATATAATATCCTACATGCACAGATTGCTTCAATTAAAATATCCTGTTCATGTAAATGCCATCACACCAAGTCGTGCCGAAGTCAGTATTCCATAAAGTGCACAATAATGCAAGAATATATTCTTACAATGGCAGAAAAAATTTACTTTATGTCCTTCTAGGAATTGATTCACGAACATTCCGTAATCGCTTTGGATTATCAGGATGAGATTTCTAAATGGGCTGACCCAGATCATTATGATATGAATGTTTTAAGGGTTCAGTTGCCTTATGTTGCTCCAACTAGTACACCAGGATTATCTGTCGAGCAGCAAAAAGAGAGGAAACGCGAATTGGCCCGTCGACTTATGGAGATTAATGCTAGGAAACGAGAAGAAAGAGTAAATATTTGTACAAGTCTCCTAATAGGTCCATTCGTTATTAACCGACTGTTCACAGCTTGCAGAAGATGAGGAGCAATTGAATCAACTGTTAGCTGTTCAGGATCTCCTTGAGGAGGGTGAAACAGAGGAATTTTACCAAGCGCTAAAAACTTACTCCCTTGCAAATGAGGCGGATCTGATAAAAATGATAAATAATCTCCAAGCAAAAATTGAGCGTACCAGACAAAAAATAGTAGCTGCGAATTCGCAGGAGGAAAATATCGTAATCGAAGATCAAAAACCAAAGATCAAGTCAAGTCTACAACCCAAAGATCAACAGGACTTTGATGAATGGATCGCCGGTGTCCGTAAAAAGAGGTATAATATATTAATTACTCCGACGTATCATCGATTATCAAAATATAAAATAATTAATATAAATTATAGACAAGAGATCTTGGACAAGCGTTTAGCCAAAAGGCAGCGCAGACAAGACATGGCAAAGCGAAGAACAGCCGCTGCACAAGAAAGGATGCGAATAATAAGTCAATTAGCCAGAAAGGAGAAGCGTGATGATGATTTCGGTATGAGAGATGAAGATTGGGACGTGTACAAAGTGATAAACCGAGTAAGCATAGATATATTTATAATTTTTTTTGTAAATGAATTCAAACTAACGTAATAACTTCGACATTTAGGAAGGAGGCGATTCAGACTCAGAATTAGAGCAAGAAAAACTGCTGGAATTGGAAGATGTCCTGCGTCATCATGATCCTGAATTCGACGGCGCGGGTTCATCAGTTCCATTGATACCTGGTGAAACTCACCAACTCCACGTAGGACTAGAACGTTTAAGGGCTCCTGAGCTTTTATTCCAACCATCCATGATCGGTTCTGTGGAGGCAGGCATAGCTGAGACAATAGAATACGTACTGAAACGTTACTCGATAGAGCAGCAAATGCGTCTAGTGGGAAACGTGTTCCTGACCGGTGGACCAGCATCCTTTCCAGGTCTTCTGGAGAGATTAACACGTGAGCTTCGTGAGATTAGACCATTTATGTCCAGCTTCCAACTGAACATAGCCAAGAATACTAGTCTTGATGCGTGGTACGGTGCCAGAGATTTTGGACTGAATGGTAACCTCTCAGAGTACCTGGTGACTAGAAAGGAATACGAGGAGAAGGGTGGTGAGTACCTGAAGGAACATACGTCGAGTAATACTTTTGCAAAGTCTCCGGATCCGCTTCCAATGATTCAAGTACCGGCGGCCTCAGAAATAATAGTGGAGGACGCAATAGTAGACGTAGAAATGGAATAGAGATACAAAACAATTATTGTATTGTTAACTCTTTTCGCCCTTCTCGTTAGCACAATAAAACAAACGATCTTTTGTCCATGGATATCTACTTTATTACACAAGTGTTCTCGTTTATTCATGACATTACGAACAAACTACATTGTAGCTTGTTTTCCCGTTGAGAATGTACAGCTCTCAGTTATATCTCTTATCCTGTTTGACCATCCAGAGACAATTATGCGGGTGTTTATTTTTTTGTAATTTTTTTTATTTAATCGAGATAATTATGTTCGTTTAGGTGGCCTAAAAAAATGTGAAAGTGATCCCTCACGCTAGCGTTTAAGTCTGTCTACAACGACCTCGGTGTAGCTCCTACCTCATCCTCCTCGTCGAACATCATCTCCCTACCAAATAGGTCCACGGCTTAAACCTAACATCACAATGTAATATACTGAAAAAATATCATTGGACCTTATAAAACGTACGGCCCTTTAATAACTAGCATCCGTGATCATTTTATGATCCATCCACGTTGTTAGTTGTCAGTATTATAAGAGCTGTCAATAGCGAGAACCCAAAAGACGTCCATTTAATTGGACCAAAAGTAAAATAAAATAAAAAGGAAAGCTGTAATGAGCCAGGACTTTCGACTTGAAAACAAAAAGACATTTACAAGCATCAAGCAAGGACGTCGCGCAGTCCAGTCTTTCCTCAATTCGCTTTAACAGTGACATTGACACATGACGTATACCGTTATACACATCCAACAGTAAAAAAGTCCATCGCAAGATGCTCGTCGCTACCGAATCTACTTAATACAACGAATCTTAATTTAAATAATATTCTTTATAATTATCACAGGATGAGGTCGCTGCAGGTCAACAATTCGCTAATGTTCGAAAGAATAGATTTCTTTATCTTTTTTATCTTCTTCTTCATTTTCTCCCTTAAAACGCCTTTTTTTCTTTTTCCACCTTTTTTCCCCTCTCCATGTAGCACGTTTTTTTTTTCACCCACATCATTTTTCATTTTTTAAATTTATTTCACAATTCTTTCTCCTCTTTGTTATTGTTCTCACGTGCATCGCGTCCGGTCCATATTGTTCGCGCGTTCCGTTCCAAAACAGTTTTTGCGATAAAGAATACACAGTACAGTATATCATTTTTATCATAAAATTGAGGTAGAATCCAATTTGAAGAATAAGATTTCTCTGAAAGGTGCTAAAAGTGAGGGTACTTCCATAATGGTAAAGCTTATTAGACTAATTAAAAGTATACGTAGCATTATTATATTGTAATAATGTAATAATAATTCATTAATTCAATAATTAATCAATAATTAGTACAACAATGGTTAATGTTCAGTAATATAATGGGAGGGTGTATGTATATATAATCGTTACTGATAAGGTAATTAGAGTCGAGAGGATCGATGTCTATGGAGAGCTGGTGGATGAAGAAAATCGCACTGCAAGGAAGAAAAGTGTGTGAGGGGGGGGGGGGGGGGGGGGG